TGTCAAAGATGGCAAAGCCGATGATTTTGTTGATCCCCCAAAGCAGCCGCTAGAACAGCTTGCTACGGATGATGTTATCTTAGCTAAAGGTTCCGAACACTTGGGTGTAGGTATAGGGGGAATAAGGTCGCATCATGTCATCCGCGATGCGTACTCCGGTGCGCGCGTTGCATACCCATTGTCCAAACGTACTGCTGACGCGCATGCTCGCAACTTTAGACATTTCTTAGGACTGCGTGGATCAGAGCTCACCACCCGAACGTTCATCAAAATGGACGAAGCCGGCGAGCTTGAGCAGGCGGCACATGCCGTAGGCATGGTTCCAGAAACCTCTTTGCCGAACAGATGGCCCCACAATGCCATCCTCGAGAGAGATGTTCGAGAGGAGAAAGAATGTTGCCGCACTATTCACCTCCAATCTGGTCTTCCCTATGAGTACCACACATATAGCTATCAATATGCTTGCCTTTCAATGTCATTCGACAAGCCTTCAATGGCTGACCCCGACAAAACCCAATGGGAGTCGCTTACTAGGAATAAGTTTGATGGCATGAGGTTATGCTTTGGTCAGTTAGTGTATTACCGTAGGAAGTCACCCACCAAAAGGACTTTGGAGCCCAACATGTCGCCGGGTCTGTTTTTGGGTTGGAGGATTGATCCTGGTTTCCGTTATAGGAATGTTCTTAGGGTGCTAGATTATCAAGAGTATCGCACTAGAGGTGGGAATTCAGCCGTTGATGTTCCAGAAGCAGAAATCTTTGTCCCTGAAGGTGATCCTGTTTTTCCAGTAGGTTTTTCACGCCACCAAGCTCTCATCAGGGGGGATAACCCAGATGATCTTAAGTTGCCTGAATATGCCTTAAAGGATGTGCCCTTCCCCAAGGAGGGCGGAATAGCCTCACCCTCTACACCAGGTCTCAAAAGTCGTTCTGTTTATATAACCGTAGACCGTATCCTTAAGTGGAAAGAGACCCCAGGTTGCAAAGGCTGCACTGGCCATTCGCGCGTGCACACTGATGAGTGCAGAGCCCGCTTCTCAATGTTGGTTGAAAAAGAAAAAGAAGCCGAAAAAGAAAAGAAAGCTCCACCTCCCACAAGTGAGACAGAAGCGGAAGACAAGGATGATGAAGCACATGGCATCATCTTCCAGGGTGAGGACCTGCCTGACCCCGACCCCATACCATCGCACCTCTCCGCTGAGGATAGGGCGCTCTTTGAGGAAACTCTCATAAGAGGTGAGGTACCAGGGTCGTCCAGACCCAGCGCTCTGCCTGAGCCTGATGTTTCCGTTTCTGGTGTAGCTATTCTTCCCCAAGTTGCCAATCGATGTTCCGACCTATGTCAGAAATCGCTGCCTGTTTTTGGTTGCCCCGCTGTAGGTAAGCCAACTAACCGCGATAATCGTAGGAGCCGGAAAGCTGCCAAGAAAGCTTCCAGACCCAATGCCAAGTCAACCATGTTTGAGTTTGCTTGTTCTGAGGACTCCCAGATGGGTTTTACTCACCAAGAATATGGCATTAATCATGTTAGACTTTGTAAGGATAGGATAGACCTGGGAGATGAGTCACAATGTGAGCAACTAGACTATCAGATAGATGAAGCCGCTAAGGTTGCACCACCACATATGTGGGCCTCTATCCCTTGCACATCCGGATCCCCTTGGCAGTACATCAATAGGAAGAAGGGTGGTGCCGCATTCATGAGGAAGCTTGCCCACCAGGTCAAAGAGTCCAAACGGTTGTTTAAGAGTTTTACCAAACGCGCTGAAAGGGTTCTCAATTATGGTGGTACTGTAACGTTTGAATGGCCAAGACCTTGCTCTGGTTGGAAGAGGCCTGACGTTGTAGCATTCTTTGAGAAGCATCCCCAGTTTATGACCGTTGGTTTTGAAGGGCGTACCGTAGGTTTAACCGACAGAAATGGTTATCCCATCAAAAAGCCATGGAAGCTCAAGACCACTTCTCCCCGAATTGTAGAGGCGTTTCAAGATATGCGGTGCCGATGCCAGCAACCTCATTCCAGATGTGAGGGAGCTGAGACTACTCGCTCCGCAATGTATCCGCCCCAAATGACTAATCTAATTGCGCAAGCTTTGTATCCTTCAAAATGTGCCCAGCAGCCTGTTCCTGCTATGCCTTGCCGACCGGCAACCAGCGAGCCTCAACCCCATAGGGAAATTGAGCAGCACCTTAAGCATGTATCTTCATTAGCTGGTTTTGAAGATTTAGCCCTAGCTGTTGAATCAGACCCCACTGCTAATAGGTTGGTTACAGAACTTCTTGACCATGAACAATTGATCGCCCAAGCCTTCCACTTGGAAGACCCAAAGGCGCCAACGCCTGAGATCAAAGCTATGGTCACTAAGCTCTTATCCCGTGCAGAGATGCTGTCCAATCCCAAGGCCCTCGAGGCAATCCGCGCCGAAGCCGATGGTTTGGTTAAGGCTGGTACTTGGGATCTTAGCTCGGTCCGCGAGAAGGAAGATGTACGCAAAGAAGCTAAGGCTTCGGGTGTGTCAGTGCACTTTGGTCAGCTCATGACCATCGCGTCCATTAAATTCTACGAGCTTGCAGACCACCTTCACAAAATGAAGGGGCGCATCGTGTACAGAGGAGACTGCGCAAAGGACGAACATGGTGCAGCCGCAGTTTATCAAGAACTCGGCGCAAATCCCACCTCCGTCCAAGGGCTGAACGCCTGCCTGGCGTACGGGTCGCTGCCGGGTAACCGCGCGACGGCTGCAGATGCAGTCAAAGCTTACGTCCAAGCACTGTTATCTTCCAAATACAAAACCTGGATTGAGCTTCCCCCGGAGCTCCGCCCTAAGTATTGGGAGCAACAGTTTGTTAAGCCCGTAGTCCTCTTAATTAAAGCCTTATACGGTCATCCTGATGCCGGAGGCCTGTGGGAACAACACTTGAAAGTCATCATCAAGAACCTTGGTGGACAGGAAGTTCCAGAATACCCAGGAAACTTTTACTTCCCAGATACAAAGTTACTTCTGTCAACTTATGTAGACGATTTAACTCTAGCTGGCCCCGCCGACCAGCATGATGCATTCTGGAGTAAGTTAACTTCTGTGGTAGATATTGAACCCCCAGAGCCCATCTACAGGATTCTTGGACGCAACCATGTTGTTACCCCACTATCCAAGACTGAAGGTCATGAAAAATGTGCAGCCTTCCAAGCCCAAGATGGCATGGTTTTTGATATGGCAGACTACGCTCAGCAGACCGTAGATTTGTATAAATCAATAACTGGTATCACCAAACTCAAACATGCTGCCACGCCATTTCCACCTGAGGGATCCATCACCATTGAAGATGATGAAACTAAAGGGGAACTAGCTCCAAATGCATGTAAGATTTTGATGAAAGCCCTTTGGTTAGGTAGGCTCGCACGTCCCGACATCATCAAGCCTATCAATGATCTGGCCACAAAGGTCCAGTCGTGGTCCAAGGGGGATGATAAGAAGGTCCTAAGATTAATCCAGTACATAGCCTCAACTCCACACTACAGGTTAGTAGGTACCATTCAGGACAAGCCTGAAGACCTAGAGCTCAGACTGTTTGTCGATGCCGACTTCGCCGGCGACAGATCAACTGCACGCTCAACCTCCGGTGGCTTTTTGGTTTTAACTGGCCCTAGTTCCTTCTTCCCACTTGCATGGATTAGCAAGCGCCAAACATCCACTTCTAGATCGACCACGGAAAGCGAGGTTGTTAGTTTAGCCCATTCGCTTTATCAAGAAGGCTTGCCTGCCTTACAGTTATGGGAGCTGTTGCTTGCACGCTCCGTAACCCTTAAGGTCCACGAAGATAACCAAGCAACAATCCTAGTTGTGAAGAAAGGATATAGTCCCAAGCTTCGCCATATAACTAGAACACACAAAGTTAATTTGTCTTGCCTGTCTGAAGTCTTCAGAGATGACTCTGCCGAGATAGAGTACACTCACACCGATGATCAGGCGGCAGACATATTCACCAAGGCATTGCCTCCACACAAATGGGCAGCAGCACTAATCCTATTAGGTATTCGTACTGACCTTCCCTTAGACCTTGAATCCAAAGCATAGGTCGCTGTGAACGTCCGTTCACGCGACAGTAGTTGCTTAGGTGCCTGCCAATGCGCAGTGCGTGTGGAACAGGCGAGGGGGGAGTTGAAATATATCGACCCCTGAGCCCCACCATGTATAGCATGTGCAGGTAGGTCTAGTAGAGGTATGCCTTAGCTATGAGTCCATCATGCCCAAAGTAGATATCCCCGATATGTACAGTCATAGCACTACCTATGTAGAAGCGTTACATAGGTAGGGTAGCCACTAATTAGAGTAGAGTGTAATTCCATCCTAACAATAACCTGGGTGGGTCATTTACACGTCTACGACGTTTGTGGCTCAAGCGCCTTCGGGAAAAGGCGTTTGGTTGTTTTGTTTGATGCAGGTGTTGCCGGATTGGTTTCCCCTTTTCGTTTGGGTTTCCGGTTCGACCCCCTGTTTCACTTGTTTAAATATGTAAATTGTCACATAATGCCAAACTGTCACTGTTTTTGTTGTTGATTCAATCATTTAGTTGGAAGTAAACCATCCTAATTCCGATCATATATCGAAGCTGCTGGATTACATAGATTATTGAACTTGATCTTGGCCCAGTAAACTGCACAATTCAAAGTATCATTCAATTGCCAACACACTTCGTCCCAGTTGTTGCGTGTTTAGGTTGATGACATCTGACTTGGATGGAAAATTCATGCAGGATAGCTCCCTGGGTTCAAAAGCACGGTGCACAACTTCTCACCAATCCATTGATTTTTCATCCTTCAGCTTGTAAATACCATTCCAAAAAAAGTATCACCATCCGTTCTCCCATCATTTTTAAAGTGAATCCCCATGATTTTAATGGGGATTTATATATATATACTTTCCATGATTTTTCGATGTTTTTTTGGGAGACTCTGACCTTTCCATGCTGCCCTTGGGGCTTGGATGCCCTGGGGGCCAGGCTGATCGAACAGGAGGGCCAGGAGTGCGTGGCCCGCTGTATGGCCTCAGAGACTCGGACGTATCGTGAGCATTTCCTGGGGTCGATCGTCGATGAAGTCCGTTACGAGCATTGGGGTCCTTGGGGTCATTGTCATGTCATTGTTATATTATATATATTATGTATATATTATGTATATGTGTATATATATATATAAGATACTAAATAAATTACATATGTTTAATATCATGACTATCATGACCCCAATGGTCAATACTATATATATACGATACTAAATAAATTAAATAATGATATATGTCATGAGAATTTTCAGTGATGATATAGTGATGATATACTGAGCCTGTTTTCACGGACCAGCTCCAGTTAGATCCACTAGAAATGGTCCAAATCTTGGTGCAAAATTCCCATGGCGATCACCGAGGACTTGGTGCTGAAGCAACAGGTGGAGAGGGCATTGAAGCAGCTCTTTACCGAGGAGGAGTGGCAAAATCTCTGGATAAAGTCTCGCCTTTTCGCGCAACTTGTACCCGATTCCAACTGAAGAGTGATTTCAATCGATGCATGATGACAGTACACTATGGATCACTATGGTTCTTGAAACGAAGAAAGACACATGTTTTTCAGTTTCGCAGATGCTAAAAGTGGGTCCACTTGTAGATATACGCTGCGATGAAACACATTTACTCCCGATGAAAAAGCAAAGTTTGTCTATTTGACGCTTTTCAGCAGTTCCAAGAAAAATCTAACAGCAGCTATGAAATCCACATGTGGCATCGTATTGCATGCCTTTTGTTGTCGTTGCTTTTATTTTTCAAAAGGCATTTGAAGCCGGTGATAGGGTAGGATTGTGTTAGCTTTGCATTGTCATTCCAGTTGATGAACAGTCAAAAGTCAAATTTCTGATATTTGAATTTGGCTGTGTGATTTTACGATATCAAAAGCGGACGGACACCTTTCCTCCGTATGTGATATTTTAGGTAGTTGTTTTGAGTGGAAACCATTTTGCAGGAAAATGCACCTTTGGATACCTTTGGTGCAAAACTGACAGCCGCGAAGTGAATAGATGCAGCTTTGCAGTGAATATGGATTTGCCTAACCTAAACATAGGGTAGACCAAAATTTGACGATTTCCATGTTTTCCAATGGTACTGGTAGATGTACCATCTCAAAAATAGGTAAACCAAACATGTTCACTACACCAAAATTGTCCAATCGCGAAATATTGGAAAACAACTAATTACAATCATTGTTTATGTCTAGTTTTTATTTTCAGATGGAAATAGGACATCAGATTTTTTCCAATCATCATTTTCCTCACGATTTCCTACGTTTTTTTTTGGGTTTTCCCATGGGGTTTCCCCCCATCCCGTCCCCCGGCGGCTTTGAGAGGATTTGAATCGATTTGAAAATGGATAGTTCGTTGATTCACCGGGAAAATTTGGTGATTTTCCATCGCAAACTGCGAGTTTTACCAGAGGGTCAGTGGCTTTCAACGTCTTTGACTGGGCATTTGTTTGAAGCCCAAATCCCAGAGCGCCAGGAGAGCCAGGAGCCAGACCATGTCAGCCGTGGACACGTGCCGGGTGTGAGGCTCGCGGCTCCACTGTTTCAGGTTTTTCAGGTTGAAAAACCACCTTGGGACTCTTGGGGAAGACAAGGGCAGGTTGGTGGTTTGGAACATGGCTGTTATTTTCCATAATATATGGGATGTCATCCTGCCCATTGACTTTCATCAAAGGAAGTTTAGGGGGAGAAACTTCCGTGTTACGGACTTTTAGAATGTCAGGGAAAGAGTTAGTCAAAGAAAGAGTTAGTCAAAGAAACAGTTAGTCAGGGAAAGAGTTAGTCAAAGAAAGAGTGAGTCAAAGAAACAGTTAGTCAGGGAAAGAGTTAGTCAAAGAAAGAGTTAGTCAAAGAAACAGTTAGTCAGGGAAAGAGTTAGTCAAAGAAAGAGTTAGTCAAAGAAAGAGTTAGTCAAGGAAAGAGTTAGTCAGTCAAAGAAAGAGTTAGTCAAAGAAAGAGTTAGTCAAAGAAACAGTTAGTCAGGGAAAGAGTTAGTCAAAGAAAGAGTTAGTGAGGGAAAGAGTTAGCAAAGAAACAGTTAGTCAAAGAAAGAGTTAGTCAAAGAAACAGTTAGTCAGGGAAAGAGTTAGTTAAAGAAAGAGTTAGTCAAAGAAAGAGTTAGTCAAAGAAACAGTGAGTCAGGGAAAGAGTTAGTCAAAGAAAGAGTTAGTGAGGGAAAGAGTTAGTGAAAGAAAGAGTCAGTGAGGGAAATAGTTAGTCAAAGAAAGAGTTAGTCAGGGAAAGAGTTAGTCAAAGAAAGAGTTAGTGAGGGAAAGAGTTAGCAAAGAAACCGTTAGTCAAAGAAAGAGTTAGTCAAAGAAACAGTTAGTCAGGGAAAGAGTTAGTCAAAGAAAGAGTTAGTGAGGGAAAGAGTTAGTCAAAGAAAGAGTTAGTCAAAGAAGAGTTAGTCAAAGAAAGAGTTAGTGAGGGAAACAGTTAGTCAGGGAAAGAGTTAGTCAAAGAAAGAGTTAGTGAGGGAAAGAGTTAGTCAAAGAAAGAGTTAGTGAGGGAAAGAGTTAGTGAAAGAAAGAGTTAGTCAAACAAAGAGTTAGTCAAAGAAACAGTTAGTCAGGGAAAGAGTTAGTCAAAGAAAGAGTTAAAACTCTAGGATCGTTCCCCTACTGTAAATGGCATTGCAAGTGGTGCTGGCGGAGGAGTTGCCGATGGAGTTTGGAAGGAAATCTCGCACGAAATGCGTTTTTGAGAGATAGCAGATGCACGAAACCCTATGTTTTTCCATACAAAGTCTGTCCCCGAACCTCGATGATCTACCTCTGCGGTGCGACGGGTGCGAGACGGTCTCGTGTGTGGTCGGATCATCCTCGGATCATGGTCGGATCGGTCTCGGATCGGTTCCGCATTGTAAATGGGGTTTCAACTGTTTTTCGTGCATGTGTGGTCGACAGAATTCCATTGTGATTTGCAACTGTAGGATCGTTCCCGCATTGTCAATGGGGTTGCAAGTGGTGCTGGTGGATGAGTTGCTGATGGAATTGCATTGTGATTTGCAACTCTAGGATCGTTCCCCTACTGTAAAATCATTGCAAGTGGTGCTGGTGGAGGAGTTGCCGATGGAGTTTGGAAGGAAGTCTCGCACGAAATGCGTTTTTGAGAGATAGCAGATGCACGAAAGCCTATGTTTTTCCATACAAAGTGTGTCCACGAACTTCGATGATCTACCTCTGCTGTGCGACGGGTGCGAGACGTTCTCGTGTGTGGTCGGATCATGTTCGGATCATGTTCGGATCGGTCTCGGATCATGCTCGGATCGGTTCCGCATTGTAAATGGGGTTTCAACTGTTTTTCGTGCATGTGCGGCCGACAGAATTCCATTGTGATTTGCAACTGTAGGATCGTTCCCGCAATGTAAATGGGATTGCAAGTGGTGCTGGTGTATGAGTTGCCGATGGAATTCCATTGTGATTTGCAACTGTAGGATCGTTCCCGCAATGCAAATGGCATTGCAAGTGGTGCTGGTGGATGAGTTGCCGATGGAGTTTTGGAGGAAGTCTCGCACGAAATGCGTTTTTGAGAGATAGCAGATGCACGAAACCCTATGTTTTTCCATACAAAGTCCGTCCCCGAACCTCGATGATCTACCTCTGCGGTGCGGCGGTTGCGAGACGGGCTCGTGTGTGGTCGGATCATGGTCGGATCGGTCTCGGATCATGCTCGGATCGGTTCCGCATTGTAAATGGGGTGTCACCTGTGTTTCGTGCATTTGTGATCGACAGAATTCCATTGTGATTTGCAACTGTAGGATCGTTCCCGCAATGTAAATGGGATTGCAAGTGGTGCTGGTGGATGAGTTGCAGATGGAATTCCATTGTGATTTGCAACTGTAGGATCGTTCCCTCAATGTAAATGGGATTGCAAGTGTTGCTGGTGGATGAGTTGCCAATGGAATTCCATTGTGCTTTGCAACTGTAGGATCGTTCCCGCAATGTAAATGGCTGTGTCAAGGTTGCTTCCTGCTTTGGCTGCATACGTAATACTATTGTCTTCTGCAGCTGGACTTCGTAAATCGTATTGGAGTGGCTGCATGAAGGCTGCGACAGTGATTTGTCAGTAGATTTTCTCCATTTTGGCGCTAGTGATTTTCCTTCTAAAAATCCTTTTAAAAAGTGCTTCAAAATCGTCTTTTTTTCGCTCTGGCGTCGAGATCCGGTTTTGGAGCTACAATTTCTGACGCCGTTGCGCGTAGTTCTATTGTGTTTTGGAACTCAATCTCTGCAGATCGCATTGTAATGGCTGCGTCAAGGTTGCTGCGTGCTGTGGCTGCATTCGTAATACTATTGTCTTTTGCAGCTGGACTTCGTAAATCGTATTGGAGTGGCTGCATGAAGGCTGCGACAGTGATTTGTCAGCAGATTTTCTCCATTTTGGCGCTAGTGATTTTCCTTCTAAAATCCTTTTAAAAAGTGCTTCAAAATCGTCTTTTTTTCGCTCTGGCGTCGAGATCCGGTTTTGGAGCTACAATTTCCGACGCCGTTGCGCGTAGTTCTATTGTGTTTTGCAACTCAGTCTCTGCAGATCGCATTGTAATGGCTGCTTCAAGGTTGCTTCGTGCTGTGGCTGCATTTGTCATACTATTGTCTTTTGCAGCTCGACTTCGTAAATCGTATTGGAGTGGCTGCATGAAGGCTGCCACAGTGATTTGTCAGCAGATTTTCTCCATTTTGGCGCTAGTGATTTTCCTTCTAAAAATCTTTTTAAAAAGTGCTTCAAAATCGTCTTTTTTTCGCTCTGGCGTCGAGATCCATCCGGTTTTGGAGCTACAATTTCTGACGCCGTTGCGCGTAGTTCTATTGTGTTTTGCAACTCAGTCTCTGCAGATCGCATTGTAATGGCTGCGTCAAGGTTGCTTCGTGCTGTGGCTGCATTTGTCATACTATTGTCGTTTGCAGCTCGATCTCGTAAATCGTATTGGAGTGGCTGCATGAAGGCTGCGACATGGATTTGTTAGCAGATTTTCTCCATTTTGGCGCTAGTGTTTTTTGTTGCACGTAGGTTTAGAGCAGTGTGAAGTGTGGGGCGTGAAGAGTGCAGTGTGAAGTGTGCAGTGTGAAGGAAGCAGTGGGAAGTGAGAAGTGTGAAGCGTGGAGTGTGAAGTTTAAGTTTGGAGTGCGAAGAGCGCAGTGTGAAGTGTGAAGTGTGAAGTGTGAGGTTTGGAGTGTGAAGGAAGCAGTGAGAAGTGTGAAGTGTGGACTGTGAAGTGTGAAGTGTGAGTGAAGTGTGAAGTGCGAAGTGAGAAGTGTGAAGTGGGAAGGAAGCAGTGAGAAGTGTGAAGTGTGGACTGTGAAGTGTGGAGTGTGAAGTGCGAAGTGAGAAGTGTGAAGGAAGCAGTGTGAAGGAAGCAGTGAGAAGTGAGAAGTGTGAAGTGAGAAGTGTGAAGTGTGGACTGTGAAGTGTGGAGTGCGAAGAGCGCAGCGTGAAGTGTGAAGTGTGAGGTTTGGAGTGTGAAGGAAGCAGTGAGAAGTGTGAAGTGTGGACTGTGAAGTGTGAAGTGTGAGTGAAGTGTGGAGTGTGAAGTGCGAAGTGAGAAGTGTGAAGTGTGAAGTTTGGAGTGTGAAGTTTGGAGTCGGAATGAAGCAGTGAGAAGTGAGAAGTGTGAAGTGTGGACTGTGAAGTGTGGAGTGTGAAGTGCGAAGTGAGAAGTGTGAAGTTTGGAGTGTGAAGGAAGCAGTGAGAAGTGAGAAGTGTGAAGTGAGAAGTGTGAAGTGTGGACTGGGAAGTGTGGAGTGCGAAGAGGGCAGCGTGAAGTGTGAAGTGTGAAGTGTGAGGTTTGGAGTGTGAAGGAAGCAGTGAGAAGTGTGAAGTGTGGACTGTGAAGTGTGAAGTGTGAGTGAAGTGTGGAGTGCGAAGTGAGAAGTGTGAAGTGTGCGTTTTGGAGTGTGAAGTTTGGAGTGGGAAGGAAGCAGTGAGAAGTGTGAAGTGTGGAGTGTGAAGTGTGGAGTGTGAAGTGCGAAGTGAGAAGTGTGAAGTTAGGAGTGTGAAGGAAGCAGTGAGAAGTGAGAAGTGCGAAGTGAGAAGTGTGAAGTGTGAAGTTTGGAGTGTGAAGGAAGCAGTGAGAAGTGAGAAGTGTGAAATGTGGAGTGTGAAGTGTGAAATGCGAAGTGAGAAGTGTGGACTGTGAAGTGTGAAGTGTGAAGTGTGGACTGTGAAGTACGAAGTGTGAAGTGTGGGCTGTGAAGTGTGAAGTGTGAAGTGTGGACTGTGAAGTGTGGAGTGTGAAGTGCGAAGTGAGAAGTGTGAAGTTTGGAGTGTGAAGGAAGCAGTGAGAAGTGAGAAGTGTGAAGTGAGAAGTGTGAAGTGTGGACTGTGAAGTGTGGAGTGCGAAGAGCGCAGTGTGAAGTGTGAAGTGTGAAGTGTGAGGGTTGGAGTGTGAAGGAAGCAGTGAGAAGTGTGAAGTGTGGACTGTGAAGTGTGAAGTGTGAGTGAAGTGTGGAGTGTGAAGTGCGAAGTGTGAAGTGTGAAGTTTGGAGTGTGAAGTGTGGAGTGGGAAGGAAGCAGTGAGAAGTGAGAAGTGTGAAGTGTGGACTGTGAAGTGTGGAGTGTGAAGTGCGAAGTGAGAAGTGTGAAGTTTGGAGTGTGAAGGAAGCAGTGAGAAGTGAGAAGTGTGAAGTGAGAAGTGTGAAGTGTGGACTTGGAAGTGTGGAGTGCGAAGAGCGCAGCGTGAAGTGTGAAGTGTGAAGTGTGAGGTTTGGAGTGTGAAGGAAGCAGTGAGAAGTGTGAAGTGTGGACTGTGAAGTGTGAAGTGTGAGTGAAGTGTGGAGTGCGAAGTGCGAAGTGAGAAGTGTGAAGTGTGAGTTTTGGAGTGTGAAGTTTGGAGTGGGAAGGAAGCAGTGAGAAGTGTGAAGTGTGGAGTGTGAAGTGTGGAGTGTGAAGTGCGAAGTGAGAAGTGTGAAGTTAGGAGTGTGAAGGAAGCAGTGAGAAGTGAGAAGTGTGAAGTGCGAAGTGAGAAGTGTGAAGTGTGAAGTTTGGAGTGTGAAGGAAGCAGTGAGAAGTGAGAAGTGTGAAATGTGGAGTGTGAAGTGTGAAGTGTGAATGCGAAGTGCGAAGTGTGAAGTGTGAAGTGTGGACTGTGAAGTGTGAAGTGTGGACTGTGGAGTGTGAAGTGTGAAGTGTGAAGTGTGGACTGTGAAGTGTGAAGTGTGCAGTGTGAAGTGTGAAGTGTGAAGTGTGAGGTTTGGAGTGTGAAGGAAGCAGTGAGAAGTGAGAAGTGTGGAGTGTGAAAGTGTGAAGTTTGAAGTTTGGAGTGCGAAGAGTGCAGTGTGCAGTGTGAGGTGTGGAGTGTCGAGGGAAGGACACGGTCGGGACAGGGTGTCTTTGAACTATAGGTCATTTATGTTTGGGAAACTTCCGCCGCCGGCTTGCCCGGGTCTATGTTATTTTTCAAAATGGTTAAAACATGTTAAAACCACCAACCAGAGGGGATATCATGGGATATCATCGGATAGTTTTTGATGCGTGGAAGTTCTAAGATCCACTACTGGGTAAACCACCTCATGGCAGCGCGGCAATCCTGTCCATGGATAGGATATACTACCAATGGTAAAGCGAAATGTAATTCTTATGTACTAAGGTAAATCTATGGTTTTTCTGCACTGGCCGTAGATATTTCATGGTTTTTGTAGCGCCAAAAGAGGAGCGAAAAGAAGCCATGAATTTTATCACCGGTTCGTAACTGATGAACTTCCATGTGCAGGTGATTCACGAATCACAGACCGCTGGAAGTCGTCCTTTGCTGTCATGTTGGTGCATGGAATTGGATTCCAAATCGCGAATCATCCAAAACCATCTAAAACGAAGTAAAAACAAGCTAAAAGCTAAAGACCATCCAATTTTTCAAGATTCCGAAGAGCTTGAAGATTTGGGGTTACCATTGAAATAGGTGTTTCTTAAAGTTGGGAGAAGCCCACCATTGGATTTCCCAAAAAAAATTGACCAATAACTTGGAATGATCAGCGTGAAGTCACCGCATAGGTGGAGATTCCCAGTGGATGATCTTTTCAAAAAAAATACAACCAGTGGAATCAAGAATACCAAAGAATACCATTCCCCTAACCAACCATCAACCATAATTAAAACCGTCTAAGCCGGACCATCAACCATTTTTTTCAAAGCGCCTAAGATGCCCATTCTGCTGGTTATGTAGCACCATATTGATGGTGGAACCAGTGGAACCATTGACCAAAATTTCCTCTCGCAAACCGAGGCCCGTTGAGAGACAGCCCCTGGTAAAGCAGGCGAGGCGATTCCAGTCGATCCCAGTTCTATGTAGCTATCCAGCTATCCCAATGTAACACACTGCCGGATGTAAAAAAAGAGACTTGCAATGATTGGGATTAACGAACTAGAAGTAGTATATGAATTTGAACCCGAAAAAAATATCACCCTTAAATCACTGAATCGCTTATTGAATCACTGATTCAACCCACAAAAACACTTAACTTATGCCTCGGCGCCAGGGCCGCTCGATCAAATCCTCTGTGTCGCAGGTGGGACGACGTGCCGGGGCTCGGTCACGTCATGGTCACGTCCGTCGTAGATACCGTAGATACCGTAGATACAGAAATCGTAAATGGCTAGGAAATGTATGAAATAGACTAAATAGACCAGTCATATGTGGAATATTGTGGAATATAGCCCTGTTTTCTTTTGAGGTTATCAACCACTTAGTCATTTTTTTCTGCACACCCAAGCACTTTAGAATCCATACATCCAATCTTCTTTACTATGGATTATAGTACCCAGCAGCCAGTTCGATAGGGTTTGTTTTACCCATGAAATCTTGGGAGATAGCCTCGTTGCATGGTACACCCTTTGGCAAACGAACATAGCTATGAAAAATAGCTGATTCACAATATTCAGACAGTAACTCCCAAAAAGATAGAACACTTCGAAACCTGAAAAATAGAGGGAATAATACCATCTATACTCTGGAAACACTTTTCTATCTTTTTTGGGTTGCTTGCCATAGATGATTTAAATTTGATTGCGAAAAGTGATGATTTTCCATACAAAATGTGAGTTGGGTGTGTCTGAAAGTGGCGGATACGGGATACCCTTCAGGAGTTATTTTTACTTCGGCATCTATGGGAATGATGAACCAGGGCATTTGGGGTAATCCTGAATAGCGGCACTGTTGGGAGCGCAAGTTCAAGGCGTTCAGTTCCATTTTGAAACCGTGGCTATGATCAGCACAGAGTTTGGTGGATCATAGCTTGGTCATCATAGATCATCACAGATATTCAAAGATCATGACTAGATCATAGATCATAGTTATTCATAGATCATCAAAGATCATCATAGTTTGGTCATCATAGATCATATATGTTCAAAGATCATCGCCGTCATAGCCATCCGTTGTTTTCAACGAAAAATCCGAAAGAATCCAACGAAAGGTCTGGTCATCATGACACAAACCATCAACGGATCGGCGCGCGGGGGTCGAAATGTCCATCTAATTTAAGTGGGGTGTCATGAATTTTGCCCTACATGTCTCACCTGACATGTCAATAAATCTTCCATTTTTGTTGACAGTAGTAAGCCATAGTAACCCCTTCAATGCCCTTCAACAGAGCTCAGTAATTTCATCACGATTTTTGAACCCATAGCAACCCGTAATAACCCAGGATTTTACTTTTCTGTCTTTTTGGGTGGTTGCTCTATTCATACTGGACCTCCCTGGCGCCAGGTACCACGCCAGATCATCAGCTCTGTTGAAGCTGAGAAGTTGGGTAGCCTGGCTGATTGGTGAAACTTGGGGAGTTCTACTACCTGGCTTGTTGGGGTCTATGAACTAACCCATAGGATTGGGAAACATATCAACCAACCAGTATAATGAGATGGGACATATACTTGTATTGTTAATGGCTGAATTTACAAAGCTCCGCTCTCTGAGCTATTTATCAGCCCACAAGACATGGGGCCCCCGCCCGATGAAGCCTCAAACATGGAAACATCACCAGAGAGATCAACATCCGCTGGTCCTTTGTTCTTGTTGGTAAAATCCCACATGTTGTTCGAATCCAATTTTGGCGACAGTCATCAGATATTATATATAAGCATATATATATACTTATACTAGGTACATATAATTACATTAATGATATATGATTATATATGAAATTATATATGATTATATAGATATATATATATTATAAATGTCTAATTTCTTGAGATCCATTTTTTTTGGGCAAAATAACGCATCCTTTTGACGACTCGCAGGACATGGCCGGCACCACCAGTGGCTCCGGTGACGTCGGAAGTGGTGACGCAGCGAGGTGTTTCGTGACGTGGGTGTCATCTAGAGACACAACGATGATGATGTTGATCATAGATATATAGATCATATATAGAAGATATTAGTGTTATATATACTAATGACATTTCATAGATCATAGATGAATTTTGATTTTTGATATATTCAATATATTCTATGTATTAGTAGAAGGTTATACATGTATATACTATATATGTATATATGATATTTTGATATAGTCACCATTGTACTAATTGAGAGTATGATGATATAGTATATGAGTATGCTATACCGGTAGTGTGCGGCCGCGGGCGTTTTCGAACAGGAGCAATGACTATCGGAAATCGGTGACCTGTATCATTGGATTAGTTTAAGGGAAAATCTACAGGATTTATTGACAGAAGCAATGGAAGTTTGAGATTGTTATTATAGAGTCAATACACAAATGAATGGACTGGATGGATGACCGAATGAATGAATGAGTGACTGAAATGAAATCAAAGAAATGAATGACAGAATGAATCAATCAGTCAATGAATGAATTTTGGAAAATATGAAATGAAAACTGTAATGAACGAATGAATGAATGCATGGATGAATGAATGAATGAATTAATGAATTGAATTGAATTGAATTAAATTGAATAGGAACGAAATGAATGAATGAATGAATGAATTAATTAATGAACGAATGAATCAACGAATGAATGGATGAATGGATGGATGGATGGATGGATGAATGGATAAATGGATGAATGGACGAATGAACGAACGAAGGAAGGAAGGAACGAACGAACGAATGCCCGAACGAACGAACGAACGAACGAATGAATGAATGAATGAACTAACGAATCAATGAACGAACGAATGAAAGAACGAACGAATGGAAATGAAATGAAATAAAATGAAATGAAATGAAATGAAATTCATTGAAATGAAATGAAATGAAATGAAATGAAATGAATGAAAATGAAATGAATTCAAATGAAATGAGTGGAAATGAAACGAAATAAATGGACATGAAATGAATGGACATGAAATGAATTGAATGGAAATGAAATGAAACGAAAGGAAAGGAAGGGCAATGAAATGAAATGAAACAAAATGAATGGACATGAAATGAAATGAATGGAAGTGAAATGAAATGATTTGAAATGAAATGAAATGAAATGAATAGAAATGAAATGAATGGAAATGAAATGAAATGAATGGAAATGAAAGGCAATGAAATGAAATAAAATGAAATGAAATGAAATGAAATGAATGGAAATGAAAAACCAATGAAATGAAATGAAATGAATAGAAATGAAATGAAATGAAATAAAATGAAATGAAATGAATGGAAATGAAATGAAATGAATGGAAATGAAAAACCAATGAAATGAAATGAATGGAAATGAAAGGCAATGAAATGAAATAAAATGAAATGAAATGAAATGAATGGAAATGAAAAACCAATGAAATGAAATGAAATGAATAGAAATGAAATGAAATGAAATGAAATAAAATGAAATGAAATGAAATGAATGGAAATGAAATGAAATGAATGGAAATGAAAAACCAATGAAATGAAATGAAATGAATAGAAATGAAATGAAATGAAATGAATGGAAATGAAAAACCAATGAAATGAAATGAAATGAATAGAAATGAAATGAAATGAAATAAAATGAAATGAAATGAATGGAAATGAAATGAAATGAATGGAAATGAAAAACCAATGAAATGAAATGATTGGAAATGAAATGAAATGAAATGAATAGAAATGAAATGAAATGAAATGAATGGAAATGAAATGAAACGAAATGACATGAAATGAATAGAAATGAAATGAAATAAAATGAAATGAAATGAATGGAAATGAAATGAAATGAATGGAAATGAAAAACCAATGAAATGAAATGATTGGAAATGAAATGAAATGAATGGAAATGAAAAACCAATGAAATAAAATGAAATGAAATGAATGGAAATGAAATGAAATGAATGGAAATGAAAAACCAATGAAATGAAATGAATGGAAATGAAAGGCAATGAAATGAAATAAAATGAAATGAAATGAAATGAAATGAATGGAAATGAAAAACCAATGAAATGAAATGAAATGAATAGAAATGAAATGAAATGAAATAAAATGAAATGAAATGAATGGAAATGAAATGAAATGAATGGAAATGAAAAACCAATGAAATGAAATGATTGGAAATGAAATGAAATGAATAGAAATGAAATGAAATGAAATGAAATGAATGGAAATGAAATGAAACGAAATGACATGAAATGAATAGAAATGAAATGAAATGAAATGAATGGAAATGAAAAACCAATGAAATGAAATGATTGGAAATGAAATGAAATGAAATGAAATAAAATGAAATGAAATGAATGGAAATGAAATGAAATGAATGGAAATGAAAAACCAATGAAATGAAATGATGAAATGGAAATGAAATGAAATGAAATGAATGGAAATGAAATGAAATGAATGGAAATGAAAAACCAATGAAATGAAATGATTGGAAATGAAATGAAATGAATAGAAATGAAATGAAATGAAATAAAATGGAAATGAAAAACCAATGAAATGAAATGATTGGAAATGAAATGAAATGAAATGAATGGAAATGAAAAACCAATGAAATGAAATGATTGGAAATGAAATGAATAGAAATGAAATGAAATGAAATGATTGGAAATGAAATGAAATGAATAGAAATGAAATGAAATGAAATGAATGGAAATGAAATGAAATGAATAGAAATGAAATGAAATGAAATGAATGGAAATGAAATGAAATGAATAGAAATGAAATGAAATGAAACGAAATGACAGGAAATGAAACAAAATGACATGAATGGCATCAATGATCATACTGGCATTTCACGTCCTGTGGACATGTAGCAGCGTTCTTGTGTCTGCAACCGCTTAAACCCTATCAGGTTGACCCAAGAATGTGACCCACATGACATCTCCAGGTTACCAAGCTGGATCGCAAGGCCCGCGGGACCTCATTTTGTGTTTCCGTGGTTCCAATGGGAAGCGCTTAGCAATTTCTCTAGGCCTGCACCAAATCATAATCCCCCACCTCCCATGGAGACATTTCCAACACCTTCGCCATTTGCAGGACAGAAAGCCAAGGGCCTCAACAGAAAAGATCAGAAATGCCAGCAAAATCGACAGATCATAGATTTCTGTGGGTCAATACTAACACCATTGTAGTTCTGACCCTTACCATCCTTACCGGCCTATACTCAAACTATGATGGAAATTCAAGGGTCCAAACAGGTCCAACATGGAACAACAAGAACAATCGGATACATTTTGATGATTTCTTAACAGAAAAAACCCTCCTAGGCATCTCCAAAAAACAAAGAATACATGAAACATATCATTTTGTATCATTCTGTTGAAAAAAAATAAGTCCAAAAGATAGCCAGGCACACGAGGATCACGAGGCACCAAGAATTTCAACAGATGAACACCTTGCCATGGCCGACATGTGACGCTGTGTGACCAGATGGACGCTGGGTCCAGCTTTTTCGCTGCCATGGCCGGAGATGAAGGATGATTTCAGAAAAGGAACTGCTGGTAAACTAACAGTTTGCTCTGGAAAATGGCCCAAGTATATATTATTTATATGTATTTATCTATTTGAAAAAGTTATTTCCCAGAGTTATGTTAGAATACCGGAGGGATCTAGATGGTAAATGTTAGCACCTTAAGTCATCCAATTTGTTTGGGGTAGATTTCTGGATATATTTTTTGGGGGCCGTTTACGAACCGAAGCTCTTACCCAAGAATTCGCCCGAAGTTCCGACCCAGCTGGAGAATTGGAGTTTGAGATGATGTGTTGATACTTTTGAAGCGACATCTCTGCTTTCATGTCATGTGCACATGTGCAGTACAAGGCAACACAGCTCGAAGTGTTCATATGTTGCCAACCGTTCTTCTTTCCTGTTTATTGCTGGAATCACAACATGCGGTTGGATGCGTCCCCACTTGATTCTGGAGCTCAGCTGGATCTCGAAGTTTGAAAGATCCTGAGGCTTGGCGTCCAGCAGTTTCAGCTTCTGGCGCCAAGTCTCGTTTTCGCATCAAAAACCGATCTGTCCGACTGACCCGTCTAAGGATGTGTTCCTTCTGATCTTCATTTTGGCGGTCTTGGGGTTGGCCATAGTCCCTCCACGGCTTTGCTGCGATGGGCTGTGACCCCCTGTTTTCGCATGTTTCGCGCCGAGACCAAAATTCCATAAAATGCCCTTATATTAATTGATTGATTTTTTGTAATGAGGATTATGCTAACTGGTTTAGACAGTCCAGTTCATTAGCGGGATATCTATTATTGAAGCAGTATGTCATGGGTGTATCTCTTCGGATCTTGTGTGTTGTTGGGAAGACGCAGGTATATGGATAAAACTGTGTCGGTTGAATTTGCGGTGTGGATATACCCGTCGCTGTTTTGTTTCATCATGTAATCAAACTTAAAGCAACTTGTTTTTTTCCATGGCTATTTGGAAGATATGAATAATCATCCTTAATTATCTACATCAAGGGTCAATAATCATATATCGTCATATATCATATTATATCATGATGATCATTAGTTTGATTCAATCTAGATTCATCTAGATATTGAGCATGTCAAGGCCTTTCAACCCTGGCTGACCCTGGTAGCACCAGCCAGGTCACAAACACCCGGTTGCTGATCTACTACCAGCAGCCTGAGGACCGGTCAAAGCGCTGGGTGGTGCTTTAAACCGTCAAGATATGGGTGGTTGATGACATTGCTTATTGATTTATTTATTTATATATATATACACACATACACTTACTGGGTCAATTTTGTATGTGGCTTCCATGTCATGAGAAGATCCTAAATAACATGGTGTGTCCCCGCAACAGATTCAACTCAGAAATGGATGTGCAGTCCCAAAAGATGGACACGTCAATCACTCAGTTATGGGGTTTCCATAACTGGACCCCCAAATGGATGATAAATACAAATGGGTACCCCCATGACTTAGGTAACCTCCACATTTTGGTGCTTATCTAGTTGTCTTCTTTTGTTTCAACGATGATGATATCTCAATGCAGGGAAGCCTACAGCAGCTCTGCCACTCTGCCACGTTTTTCTTCCATGAGGATGTGGGTTTCAGCAACAGCATCCTGTGCAAGGCAGCGACCGTCTGTGGGGTCCCTGGGGCTTGGCATTGGAGGTTTCCATAGTCTACCCAGGGTACCCCAATGATTTACAATGGAATACGGAAACTGCCATATTTAGGACAATGATCTCCAATGGAGCCCTTCCCATCCTCAGGTCATGGTCGCATCACTTTTCCATCTTGCCGTATTCTTGTTGAAATATCCTCATCACCAAAGTAAGCACGTGTGATTCAAGGGCACTTTGAAAGGAAACTCATGGGTTTGTACTGTCCATATCTGTCTGCAGGTCAATTCCCTCCAACTTTGTCGATGCGACCCAGATTCCCTCTCCAACATGAAACAACCCGGTTTCAGAACACGGAACCCCGACATTGGATGTTTGGTCATAATGTGCCCTCTTGAAATTACAATGAAATGAGGTAAATTCGCCGTTTTGGAGATACCCATTCATCTATCATTTGTTGTTTGTCTACCTACCTTCCTACCTACCTATTTATCTCTTTCTTTCTTGTCTTGTCTAATTTTATCTATAGATATCTATAGTCTATACATAACCTTTTTTACACTCATGTTTTAAAACCTTATTTTATCTATTGATCTGATTTACGTGATCTTGACTATTTATATGGTTTTATCGTATCTAATCTTATCTTATCATTTGTAATCTAATCATCTAATCCAATCGAATCTTATCTAGCTTTTCGAATCTATCTTATCTATCAAAGCTATCTAATTTCTTCAATCTATCTCCGTCTCTGTCGCGCTGTCTGTCTATTTCAATCTTCCGATGTTCAAACGGTCCCTGGGGCAGGTGATTATCGTGGCAAGTTTGACCTTGACGTGGATGATCAATTTGCTTCTGCCCATCGATGTGCGCAACTCCAGGCTAGGACTGGGATGAACTGGACCATTTCGGCAAAATCAGACATAAAAAATCGGGTGGTTAAACCTGATTTCCATGGCGTTCCATGGTAGTTAGAATATTTAGAATCGATACCAAGAAGCCACCTTGAATTGTTGCTGATTTGTCCCTGACTGCCCAACTTCTCAGCATCGCCCCAGTTTTGTTGTTGGACATCCCACAAAAAATGTCACTATATTCACTATATCAAACATCTCCAACTTTGGAGGTTGAAACCGCCAACCACTCTATTTATTTGGGTTTGTCTGAAAATACTGTGCCGCCAAACTAGTACTCCACGGTTTATTGTCACTTACCCCCATGAAATTTACCGTTTTGGGTTTCAGAGAACCATCAGATTCTTGGGTACAAAGCCATTCATCAGATGTTGGTTTGTACCCACAATTACCCACATTATTCATGAATCACCAGGTCCTTTCCCATGTCCAGAGGCCTGTTCTTCACGCCATGACGCCATGACGCCAGGCCCTCTCCAGGCTTTCTGGACATGCAGAGCCTATGGTGGGATGGCCCAGAGCACTTTTTCATGGAAAAACCATGGGCCAAAATGGACAAACAACAGTTGTTTTTTTTGGAAACCGATCCATGTTCTTGTTCTTGTTTTTGTTCTTGTTCTTGTTCTTCTTGTTGTTGTTGTTGCTGCTGATTCAGCTATTCCCATATGGCCAGGTAAGGCAGCAACATATGAGGCGATGAAGCGGCAAAGGTTGTTCCAAACAGGAGGACATGCTTGGTAATATGGGGATATTTATTTGTCAGCAAAGAACAAAACAACACGTACATACACGCAACTTACATATGTACATGCATGCATCCATACATCCATCCATCCGTAGATGCACGCATGCATACATACATATACGTCCATACGTCCGTCCATCCATCCATCCATCCGTCCATACAGACATACAGACATACAGGCATACAGACATGGAGACATGCAGAGAAACAGAGATAGAGAGGTACAGACATACAGACAGACAGACAGACAAACATGTATACATACGTACGTACGTACGTACGTACGTACATACATGCACATACACATACACATTCACATACACATACACATTTACATATACATATATACATACATACAGACATACATATTTTTTGATGGAAAAATCACACGATTGAGATGTTGATCTCTTCAACAAAATTGGAGCTTCAATGATTGCCCCACAGATCCACCATTCATAGGTCATCCAGTGCGAAAACAATGACTGTTCCATATCTATGTTGAGATGATTCATGGTGCAGTTAGGATCTTAAGCAATGCAAATGATGAGCCTACTGGCCCACTTTTTCGGTCCTCGAACATGTGACGGTTTGAGTGGCTCCGATGTCTTAGCTGGAGAGGATCATTGTAAGTCAGGCTAAGTCAGGACGATGAATTACCCTGAAAATCCAGTTGTGACTCATGGATCACCCAATTATGAATATTATGAATTGTCTGGTAAAATGAGTCATTTGACTGTCTTTTTGGTTCTGAAGAGTTCATAGTTCACTCGATTTTCGGCGGCCCTGATCGTCATTGCAGCTTGATGTCTCCATTTTGACGACATGCTCCGACTAAATACATATAAAAAGTACCTCGAGTTTTGTGCGTTGAACCAGATCTCATTTTTTGTTGGTTATACTTATAATTGTAGTCCCATGATATCAAGCCAACTATTGATGGTTCATAGATCTTCAAAGTTCATATCCCCCATTTGTTGGCTTGCAATCCCAAAAAAGAATCCTGTAAACCCTGCATTTTTGCCGCTTCTGACTTCTGTCCCCCTGAAGTTCGCGCATAGTGAGTAACAATCAAATAAGTTGTTTATTTAATTAAATATGTATATATATATATATACCGCAATACATTGCACACAAAATTCATATCAAAAGTATCAGAGCGAACATCACATCCACCAATATCCACCATATTTTCTGTAGTGTTTGATTTTCTATCATCTCACCATCAGAAATGGCCATCAGCAGTGCTACTACAAGTAGATTCTATCGTGGATGAGTGATATCATCCACAATAGCATCGATAGTGATGGTGATGGTTTCTATCATTACAAGGTGAGGTCTCCAAGTTACAAACTGGTTTTTAAAAAAACATTAGTTGGTGATATTTTCCAAGGACTCTAGTCTACTTAATATTTAATCAAGTTATGTGCGTCAACTTTGCCATGGACATCCCTGTAAAATCCCCATTAAGTCACCATAAAATCACCATTCTTGGTAAATTGTCCTGTAGCACCATGTTTTTTTCATGACACGCTCCAAGGACTGCAGCCTTCGTGACGCTGGCGGTGTTCATCGCCTGGCTTCCCAGGGCCAGGTCTATCCACTGAAGGATATAGCCTCTGGTTACTTAACATAGCCATGGAAGCCATGGCCCATTTCTAGATGATAAACATGATGGTATTGACCGTTTTTTAACATGGTGATTCTCCAGTTCGCTACATGAAATAACCAGATGGTAAAACTAGGAGAAACTTACTAGTTACATATTCTAAAAATTTGTGAGAGAAAGAGTTTTTTGTTGGGTTTCGATGGGTTGCAGCCACACACAACTTGATGTTTCGGAGTGCTTCGGGATTCGAGATTCAAATCCAAGTGGGGGATGGCTAGACTGGGAATGCAACGAACACTGGTGACATGTGACGAATCACTATGATTTCATACAAACATTGGATGGATTCTGATCATCAATATGATATATGAATATTATATATATACACATCTTTAAAACATTGGATAGAGGAAGTCTGAAGATAATTCGGATAGGTACAAAACTGACCGTTTTTGGGATGCGTTAATGACCCACATAGGAGAATCCTTGCGAAAGAAAACCTACAGTGAAACCGTCTTGAGATATCCGAGCCGGAGATCGACAGTCCCTGTTCCAACATTCATAGATTAATCAACGGCTGACTGCCTAAGAGTGTTTAACCATGTTTAAACCTAAAGATATCAATGGTTAAATGTAATGTTGGTTTCTGTCCTAGAGATACTTTTTTAAAGCCTTGGGTTTCAATGTGATGTATTTTTTTCTCAGTAATCCATCACTGATCCGTTACCAGCTGTGCTCAATCTTCCAGCTGTGAGATCCCAAGTCGACGCAATGGCCACGTGCTTCACTGCCATAACGGAGCTGATTCAACAGCTGTGCACAGCCGTGCAGAATGAGGCCCGTGTTTTCGATGGGGTGATCAATGAACAGCCTAGGCCATTGTAGGGCTAAACTCCAGGATTGGTATCCCGACTTACAGATAGGTTTTCCAAAAGTTTGTGGAAATTGCTTAATCGCTGGACTTAGAAATTGGAAAGGATACCAAGCGAAAAGCGGGTCTTTTGTACTGGGGCACTTGCGGGTTCCAGTTCCAGTCATAAGTGGACATAGTTGGGATTCGATATCCTGACTGGAGGTTACCATGAAATTTCCCCAAGTGCACCCCCAGTAGCTTCTCAGTGCTCAGCTTGACTCTCAACCAATGGTTATTCCACTATGATGACAGCAGAGTAGTCAGATCCATTTGAGGTACCCAACTTTGAGGCAACCTACACCCACGTGGTAAAATAAATCCATGTAGGACATGGAGCATTTTGAATGTAAGTTGGAGAGTCTCATAAGAAACATGCCTTTAAAAATGCGGAACCATAAGTTGAGGAAAGGTCTTCTACATGATACGACCATGGCGATATTTCTAATCAATGACTCCGTTTGCCACATGTCTCAGATCATTGTGACATACCCTCTGGTAAACAAACATAGCCATTGAAAATGGCCATAGAAATAGTTGATTTACCCATTAAAAATGGTGGATCTTTCCATAGTTATGTTAGTTTGCCAGAGGGATTCCTGCCCATAAGTCTTGAAAATTCAACAAATCCTTCACAAGCAAATTCAAAACTCCTTGGAAAAATTGTCCTGACTCTACATAGATATGATATCGATCTGTGTGCACACCCTTTTATCAATAAAACCCTGGTTCCATCCGCAATTGGTTGATTTATTGTTTGAATTGGCCGACCATTTTTGTGCTCTTTTTTTGGTTCATTTTGTTGGAAACATGTTCCACACACGCGGCCACCCCAGCTATAGAGTATCCAACAACGTGTTAAAGAATTGATTCTCAATCCATATTTTCAACTATAACTTTGTTGAAAAGTGTTCTTCCATATTCAGCATCTGTGATTAACAACAACACATTGATATTACACCACACTAAATCATAATTTGACTTGTAGTTTATTTGATATAGAATCCAGATACTATGCTGATTATCAATCATCATTTATCATCGTAGTGATTTCAAATACTTGTTGATTGCACATGTTCTAGTTTTTATATACTGTTATAAGGACTATATCCATCAACTATCACTCCTGAATATTTAGTAGATGGTTATTTGTAGGTCCAACAAACCGTGCTCTGCCCCAGGTGCTGTCCATTGCTGTGGAGGCACCAACACTCCTTGAAAGCCTTGGCTCCAAGCACAAAGGCCCATGGGGATTTATAACATAAGTGTACTGATTCATCTTATCACCGGGGATACACTGTATATCACTGGGTTATGATATGGTGATAACATGTGATAACGAACACGATTTTCGGATGCACTTTGAAGCACAGTACCGAACGACCCAGGAAATTTGTCAGCCCGCGAACTTTTGGCCGCGATTTTTCAGAGCTGAATGTCTTTTGGTTTCTCGAATGTGGAAGAAATCAACATTGATTTTTTGGGGGAAGCCAAAGGATATATATATGTATCTATATAGATACACATCATTAAATCAGGAAGTAAAGAGGCCGCGAACCTCTAAACATACTGGATACATAAGGAAGACAGTGAGGAAAATCATAAGTTACAAGCCTGAGCTGTGTTCCAGCACAACTTTGCCAAAAGACCCTCGAGTAGCGGCTGGACGGATGTGGAAAACTTTTCTGGGGCCGTGCCCTGAATATACCCTCTGGTAAACTAACATAACTATGGAAAATCACTATCTTTAATAGGTAAATCAACTATAAATGAGCCATTTTCCATAGCTATGTTAAATTACCAGAGGGTAATTCGTTTCAATTTGATATGAGAACCGTGCATGATATCAAGCCAATTGAAAATTCTAGTTCCTCTGGTTTATTCTTTGAAGTAATGACAAATAGAAGTTGTTGATTGAACATTGAGTCAGAACAAATCAACAAACCATGTTGATGGTTACCTTTAATGATCATGCCTAAGTTATGACAGACAATATAGTAGTCACGCTGCAATTAAATTGACATAGGGTGAAGATAGAGAATTCTTAGTGGAAAGTAAACCTCCGACCCCGAATTCCGGCAGGGTCTATGTTAATTTTGGCGAGGAGAACAAACAGAATAAGTTATCACAAACAGTAGTGAAATAATTCATACTTGGTAGTGCTTTTTTTCACACTCACACATCGTACTTACTTAACTAGTTAATGTTTGATTAACACAATAATGTGGTAAACCTAATAACAAACCCTCGCCAAAATCACCACCATTCGGGGTAGTATCAGCCATCCCCAATATTTAGCCTCCTGTCATCTAGCGATGTGGAAAAGCCACCATTTGTAGATCATTTTTCCTTTCGGAAAATCCATGGGTTTTCCACATCTATGTAATTAAATTGCCCTAGGGACAGAGTAAATTACCACCATGGCTTTTCCACATTCTAGTCAGTTTTCCACATCTAAGTTAAGTCAGTTTCCACATCCCTGTGCACCGAATACTTCGTCACCGAAAAACTGACTTCGCCGTCCCAGGCAGCTTGAAGCTGCAAGATGCTCAGAGCGATTCGCCTGCGATCAAGGCAGCGGGGCGACTGTGAGGAATTGAAGATGACACCCAATATAAGGGGATTTCCATCAATGGGGGTACCCCAAAATGGTTGCTTTATACTGGAAAATCCTAAAATAAAATGGATGATTTAGGGGTACCCCCATGACTTAGGAAACCTCCATATAAGCAGTGTAGAGAAAAACATGGTGATCTACTGAGTTTCACCCCATATGTTCGGTTGATTTTACCAAGAACATGTGGATTTTTTTTTGGATATACTACGCATGTAATGGGAGTTACCCTCTGGTAATTTGCCATAGCCATGGAAAATCACCATATTTGATAGGTAAACCATGGAACTAAATGGGCAATTTTCCATAATTAGCGATGTTGAATTACGGGAGGGTATAAACCATCGCAAGGACGGCAATTTTTGCAGGTTTCATAGCAATTTGTGAGATACGAGTTCATGCTTCTGTAATGACACCGTCATGTTCACTTTTTTGGGGGCCATATGGGATATGTACTTGATTTTGGTAAACTTTTGAGCGAATCTAAGGCATGATTCAAAATTGGGGACCTACATTTTGGGTATGTATATGTACATAGACGTATAGTATAGTTTCATTTTTTGGGGGGTACACGCTTTTAATTGGTTCGCAAATAAAGCTTTGATCCGTCAGAAGCTTCGGGACATGATCGTGGAAAAATACGATCATGAAAATGGCCATTTTTTGGCGATGGAGAAGGAACGGCCAACATAATGTATTAGGTTCATTGGTGCAGGTGTTCTCTGGAGTGACATGATGGAAAGATCCATGTCTATACGAATACATACATACATACATACATACATACATACATACATACATACATACATACATAGAGAGATTGAATTCCCCCTTGGTTTTCCGACAAATTTTAAATTGGGATATTTGGAAAATTACCAGCGATGCGTTACGGTTTTTACCCGTTGTCAGAGGCCGCGTGCCAGAGCATTCCCACGGACCAGTCGCCTATGGGTGCTTTGGCTGCGGTGGTCTTTCCAAGCTGAAGCCCTACCGTGGAAGATGATGCAAACATGATGTTTATGATGTTTCCTTTCTTGGCTTTCCATTGTCATTTTCATTGAGTTTTCAGCTTTTCCCAGAATCAGTGGAAATGCAGCTATACATACTATATACTATATATATAATATACATACATATATACTATATACTATATATACTCTATATATATACTACATATAATACCTATTGTTTGGTGTGGCGAAATAAATCCTACCTTCACAGCGCTCCGAAACCCTTGAGGCCATCCTGCGGATCCTGCGGAGCCGGCCGACTCGGCGCCACGATTGAAAATGAACTTTTCAGCTATTGAAAACCACTCAAAATAGCTAGGTAAACTATGGACAATGGTTAAGAATGGTCAATAATGGTATGGTTAATAGTGGCTAAAATAATGATTGATAATGGTTAATAATGGTTGATAATGGCTAAAATCATGGTTAATAGTGGCTAAAATCATGGTTAATGATAACGTCACCACTTTATAGGTAAATCAACGAACTGGGCCATGGCTGAAAAATCGCAAACTGTAAGACATTACCAGAGGATGAACTTTGATCTTGAGTGTCCGACTGACAAGTGCCAAAGGAAGTGAAACCCAGTGATCACCGATGGTCACTTTCGTTACTGGTATCGGTAACACGGATGATGTGACCCATGAGAGGGAACCAGTTCCTATGTAAAACCATTGACATTGGCCGTCAATGGATGTTGTCAATAATTCAGACGAGCGATAAGAACACGCATATTCTCATGCTAATGTTTCTTAGATAGTAAGAATGGCCTGTTAACTGTTAATGTTAATAATCTTGACATTTACAAGCATTAGCTTATTCAATAATAACAATAATGGACAATAATGGTTTGTCAATGTTTATGGGGTCAGTCTATTTGGTGAACCGAGATTATGATAACCTATTGTTTTTTGCCCGCATGAATAGCAAACACTCAAATTCATTGATTAGACACTTTGCTCAACTCAATGATTCTGCTTGTTCATCCACGGTTAACTGTTCAAACACCAGCCAACAACTATCAACCAGCTTTGCAATCGGTTTAACAACGGCGCCCCGTTGTTCCTTAGGACATCATTGTCACTGAGGGCCCAGAGGTTCTAATGTGGGTGGAGGAATGTGGATGCTAGGCAGCAATGGATGGTGCAAAACGTGGATTTGCTGAGAAGAAGATTTTCCCAATGGAGAATCTACTGGGGAAATGGATGGTTTTATGACTTTCAAAAAAAAAACAAAGAGGGTTCCTTCCGCAAATCCAAGTATAGCGAGCCAAAAAATAGATGCAAACGGTAAAAACTCCTGCATTGTGGTAAATGACGTGTCTATCTTTTTTTGTGCAAAAAAGATGATCACACATTGTGAAACCATGGCTTTTCAATCCAGGATTTGACATCCTTGTTTTTGGCCAACACAATGGGATTTGATACCCTCTGGTAAACGTTAACAAAAAACGATGGAAAATCACAATGCTATGAATGGGAAAATCAACGAACTAAATGGCCATTTTCAATAGCAAACTCTTAAATTACCAGAGGGTATGATTTGATATGATTTGATCATGTGCCTCTTCACAGCATTTTTTGGGTCCAAGGAGCCAAGTGATCAAATCAACCCGAGGTTGTCTGACAATTGGTTCCCGAAATAGTCCATGTTAACAGGAGATATGGTGGTTTCCTAAGTCATGGGGGTACCCCCAAATCATCCATTTCTAGATGGGATTTTCCATTAACCTACCATTTTTGGATACCTCCATGTATGGAAACCTCCATATTTATGTGGAACTATGATGATTAACCAGTGGATTTTTTTCCATGCGATCCGCAAAACTTACAGCTGTACACCCTGGGTGCCAGAGTTGCCGTCCATGTAGAGTTGCTTCACTGCTTCATGTTGCTCCTATTCATACCTTTCATAACAACTCAGCTTCGCGGAAGCCCAGTCCTGACATGGCCCTCATGGGTTTGCATCAACGAAGTGCCAAACTGGGACGCACACGAGATCCAGGTGTTAATTTCAACCAACCAGTTGGCTGAGTTGTTGGCTCCCTCGGTGATCCTCATGGGAAATCCATCATTTCGGGGATTTCCCCGTGGCACAGGTGATTCGACCGTGACACTTCGCCGGGATGCGAGTTGAGCATCGCCAACAGCACGGCAGACAATGAGAATTGAATATTGGCATGTATGCAATCAAACAATCAGAATTATATTGTAGTATTATCTATCATGTATAGAAATACTATCATATAGTATTCAAGTAAAGCTATTATATATTATACAATCAAACAATCCGAATAGTATTATAATGGAGTATATCATGGGCAATTCACTGTGCATCGAGGATCTCCATAAAGACATGTCTCAGAAATGTTCGCTTTTTCCCAAGGTGGCAGTTGTGATGAAGACAACAAGACCAGATGATTTGGGGTGGTGGTCGGGTGAAACAGCAAACTTAGACCATGACTTGGTAGTGAAAGCCATGGTGCGAGGATCCGCCATTGAAAACACCAGGATGATCATCACTGGTTTCGATGATCTCGGGCGGCCCTCGGGCGCCCTTAGATTAATTCCCCTGACCGTCTCCGTGCATGGCCAAGTTCCTCGCAATGCGAAATGACCAATTACCACGACACGCTCTGGGTATGTCTCAAAAAACAAAACCATCGCACGACAAGCCGTAAGTGTCTATGGATCAATACCAATACATGCTATAACCATCTATAACCATCTATAACCATCTATAACCATCTATAACCATCTATAACCATCTATAACCTATACCAATTTATCGATGTTTAAGGGGATGAACATCCATTTGCCACCCCTGTTTTGCGGGCACAGGGGCTTACCGGGTTTGGTGTACCGTCAATCTCAGGATCCACATGAGAAAAATATGGGATTTTTATGAGATTTAAACATGGAACATATGGAACACATGGAACACGGTGAATGGTGCCCCCAAAGGTTTTGTTTGTTGCTTTGTAAAGCCCATGAATACTATAGTTACAGTATAGTTACAGTTATATCTACCATAAACCATTAATAAACCATAGAACTCAGCCACAACCATATCTCAACTGAACGCGAGCTCGACTGGTGGCCCCAGTCAATGAATTATGGGTTTCCATCATCCATTCTGGATAGCCACTCCAAGGTAAGCGGGATGCATAGCTTGTTGATCCCGTAATAGCTTGGCAGGATGCATAGCTTGTGCCCCAAAATCCCATGATCAGATTCCCTGACCACTTTGGAGGTACCATTTTGAGACACCATATTCCTTACGACATGATTGGAGCGTATTGGAGTGGACCATTTCTAGCTTACCAAAATCATATCGTTTGATCTTTTGAGACATATCTACCGGTCAGATTCGAATTTCCATAGACCCGCTGACGTTCCTTCTGATGTGTAGTTTGGCTTGGCTCAGAATTTTTGGCCTGGCTCTGTCAACATGATGGGGCCTGCCAACCACAGAGGCTTGGCTCATCAGCGCGGACTCAAAAAGACGCCGAGTGTGAAGTTACCCGCTGATAATTTTAATTGGGAATGGAAAATCACCCGTGGAAATGGTAAATCATCAGAATCAGTTAATGTTCGTAAAGCAATAGGATCCACCATCCCGTTATTTTTACCATTTTCATGGGTATAACTGGCCGGTGGTTAGTTGGGAGCGATTTGGAGCTACTGAGAGTATCCCAACCATATGATAAACAATGAAACTATGGCTGGATTTTAGGGCGCCGCGTATGATGAACGATGAAGCCTGGGGTCCCTTGGCTGGTATCGAAATGAAGAGATTGCGCAAAGAAATTTGAGGGGTTTAACATGGTTTAACAGTTTCATTCCAAATTATTTAAATGAAAAGAAACCGTTAAACTATGTTAAAATTATTACTGTATTATTATACATATATATATATTTATATATATATACATATATATATATATATTTGATGGGTTTACCGTGGTTGATATGGTTTAACATACTTGATTTCTGGGTCAACCTCGGTGATTTTCTCACCCAATGGGTGGAAGGGTTTTTCCCGGTGATGTTTGCTGACTTGCAGCCGCATCTAAGTACGTATATCATAGATCATAGATTATTCATAGATTATTCATAGTATATCACAGTTTACCATAGTAGATCACCAGTCGATCATAGTACAGTCTATTATAGTCTATTATACCAGTCTATTATAGTATAGATTATTACCATAGTCTATCATAGTTTTTTCATAGATTATTACCATAGTTTACCATAGTATATTACCATAGATTATTCATAGGGTCATAGCTTTTCGTAGTATATTCATAGTATATATGATAATATTGACCATAGATATTTATAGTATATCAGTATATTTACCATAATCAGTATATTTACCATAGATATGTACCATTGTTCATAGATATTCATAGTATATCAGAGTCTATCCATGTTTCGAAAGCTCGTGAGGTCACCCAACGGTCACCCAACGGCCAAGGTGCTGGTGGTCCCGGCAGCCATGTTCTACTACGAGGTGAAGCTGAGGATCCTGGTAGACCGGGGCCCTGGTTTACATATTACATATGATATCATGTGATATCATTTTATATATATATAATGATATATCATGTGGTTGAGAAAAAACAATTCGTAGCTACAACTGGCTCCCCATTTCAGAGATTTTAATCGATTCTTTAATGGGGAAGATGGAGATCCATGGTTACTTCCAGCGAACCACCGGATAGATACCCCTAAGCGTCCAAATTAGATGGTTTATCATTGGGTCGTGGGTTCAATCAGTTTCAAACCTGCTGATATCTAAGAAGCCAACGGTAGGGGTAGGGGTCAATACCGAAAACACAGGCTCGCGCAAATTTGCGTCATTTTGAAATATTTCAACATACTGCTTGTTTTGGGGCTATCCAATTTGTATCATGTAGTCCTTTTAGGCCGAAACCTTCGAAGAAAACAACGAAAGGTAAGAGCCGGCTATGGACCGTCCCACACTGAAGTGGCGAACAGAGAGAGGGTCGTAACGGGTCGTATCACCAGTGTTGATTGGTTAAATCAGCGCCGTTGTTTTTCATAGAGCAACCCTTCAGTTGGAAGTTGGAACCGTTGCTACCAGGTGAACTCGGATCCGTTTCACACTTTCCTTACTTTCCTTGATCATTTCATCCAGGTGGAGGGCGATGAGTTTGTGAAGAGGAGATGCTCTGGAGTTGGGCTCTGGAGAGACAGGATTGTCTTGAAATACTGTGCACCATGGGAGTCGAACAAGATCACCCCAAGCTGACGTTTTAAGCCCCCAAAGAATGAGGCCTGTGGTGGGTCCATTCCTCGGACACTGTCAATTGAAGTTGTTTTTGATGTCGGCCCAACAATTTTTTAATGGCAAAAATGAATCCCGGCCCCGCCACCGGAGGGATGAGGGATTTGGAACTCTGTGGCAGCGTAAAATCTCGGTGTTTGCACAGCGCCGCTTATTTTGCCGCTTTTTGCGGCCTTCCTGCGCGGCAAATTTGCTACCTTGAAATTTGGATGGCAATGCCACTGGTTTGCTGCAACAATCCACATTTTTCAACTCCAGTCACTGAGTCACCACATGAATCATCCCATTAAAAAAAGCGGAAATCAACTCCAAAAATCACCTCCCAAAGAACCAAAGAAGCCATTGAAGCGCCCGACTTTTGACTTTTGATGTTTGGGTAAGCGCAGCTCCTCCTTTTTAAACCGTCGGAGGAAACGGCGTTACGTCATGTGCTCCATGCTGATGACCTTTATTTTCTCTGCCCGGGGGCACGGTTGTGGGATGCGGTGGATGCTGGGATAGCTGGGATAGGATAGGTTGCAATCACCGATGGAGGCATCATCTCTCATGGAATCTGGTTCTGATGGTTCCGCTTTGCACTTGGTATGGGACATCAGAAGGTTTGGTTTGCATGGCTTGTCGCAGCTACATCTGTGCCGTTCTGTTGATCAGCGATCCAAAATGTCCATGTTTGAAGAGTGTTTTCAGTGAGCTACCTGGAATATCATCCCACTTATATAGTAAGTGGTGAACGTAACCCTTGTTAGTAAGTCCCGTGGGTTATCCCGTATACATACACAGATAGATAGATAGATAGATAGATATATACATATATTAAGCAATGGGTTATGACTAGCAAGAAGTCTCTCAGCCAAAGGGCCAGACATGTTTTTTCGGATGAGGTGCCTCATCTCCGTTGATTGATGATGAGTTTTGGGATGATTTATACTACCCCAATCCAATTGGGGACTACAAAAAAAACCAATTGGGGAATCCCGTTCTTAACCAACCAGGATTTTGACTGCTCGGAGTTTTTCCCGAATAGACCTGCAAAAACTTGGGTCAAGCCTAGTCAAGTCACAGTTCAGACATTTTCTTAGGCAACCGACCAGGTTTTGGTTGCTTCAACAGTTCAACTGTTTTTTCTCTGGAATGATTGATCCCCAGGCTGCATTGCTGGGCATCAGTTTTCCCTTCTTGTCAAAGGCCGCTTCAATGGGTAGAACAAGGGCCTGGGTAGCACATAAACTATCACTGGGATGTGATTGGTCAGTTTGGTCAGTGGAAGTTGAATCAACTCGTGATGGGATCCGCATTTGGACAGAGCACCTCCGACATTCCACCTTGTGGTATATCTCACCTTTTCTGGTAGGCATTTTTTTCTTTGATCAAAACCAAGAACGCACACCATTTTTTCAGATTCCCGCTTGTTGGCTTCCCTTGTTTCCTGATTCATCTGTTTGCTTTTTTTATCTGCTTTCTGATTTTCTGATTTCTCTTCCTTGCGCTTTCTCCTGATTCTGTTTCTTCTGATTCACGTCCCTTTTGATTCCTCTAATTCCCCAGGCCGCCATACCAGTTGTCTCCTATGCGTGCAAGGACAGGCTGTGGAACATGTTGCCCAGGCTGGTATTCGATGCGAAGCAGCCCTGGTAATTATTCGGCGTGTATTGTATGCACGCAGTTACACACAGTACGTACATACATACATACATACATACATACATACCATAACATACATACATACATACATACATACATATATATATATATATTACAGTATATATTACAGTGATTTACAGTGTATATATATATACAGTATATATATATATATGTATGTACATGTATACAGTGTATATGTATATGTTTATATGCAGGATAAGTATCATAAATGTTGTCCAAAATGGTTGTTTCTCCTACATGATTTCTCCCTGGAGGAGTGGCAGACGTCGGACGAAACGGGCCGCAGCAAGGTCTGCGGCAATGGGCAGCCAACAGAAATCGAAGTGCAGGTGCTGTGTCGAACAGGGTATGGTGGATATATCTATATGGGGGGTTCCTACAATGGGGTACCCCAAAATGGATGGTTTATAAGGGAAAAACTTATTAAAATGGATGATTTAGGGGGTACCCCCATTTTAGGAAACCTCCATATAGTTAATAGATGTGAATAGTAGTTCATGGTGGTACAATGGGGGTACAATGAGATTCGCGGCGGAACATTTTTCTTTGGAATTGAGTTTAATTGACTTCACGGCGTCAGTGATTTTTTTTTGAGAATTGGGTTTCATTAACTTCACTGCGGCATTGATTCTTGGGAAGCTTTTCAGGGAATTAAGTTCAACTATCTTCACCGCAGAACTCATACACACATACACACATATACACATGTACACACACACATCAATGTATATATTCATTGAGATGGATGTCTACGTACATTTACGAATGTGGGAAAAACAATGTCATAAACCACCTATTTGGGAATGGTAAACATACCACCTGGGGGATTGTTTATTATTGTTTTACCCACATAGCTATGGAAAATGTACCATTTATAGATGATTTACCTCTTAAAAATGGAGATTTCCAGTTCGCAAACTGTTAGTTTGGCCAGAGGGTCACCATGAAAATTCCGAAAAAAATGCAAATTACGAAGAACTGATTGAGGTGGGCTTCCAGATCTACCTAGTCAGCGTGCTGTGCTTCTTAGGTTGGCTGCGGCCTAAGATGGGCGGATCGAGAAATTTCGGAGACCGACACTGACCGACACCGAGAAACATATGACTTAGCTATTAAAAGGATTTAAAAGGGGTAATTTTCCAGTTCGCAAAGTGTTAGTTTACCAATGGGTATCTCCTGAATTAGCTGGAATTCATCCTAGGTCTGAATGGTGCAAGGAGATGAACATGGGAATAAATGTTTATTTCTTAAGGCCAACAGGATACAAAAACAGGTTTTTGGCGGTAGAACAATCCAAACTTGGACAAGGCTTGGAAAGTAGGCCCAGACATGTTACCACTATCCACGGGGAAGAGTGATCCTTTCAACAGGGAGTGCGGGTGCAAACCATGATGACGCACCGTCCAGTACTCAAACATAGCAATGGGATATCTTCGCACTAAATGGAAGTTTCTAGCTGGGAAAAAACGCACTGAAAATTGGATTTTGTGGCAAACCACGTTTGATCGGAGGGTATTGCCATGGCTTTAGGTTCCTCCTCTCCATCTTTGGTGGCATTGGTTTGAGCGTCTCTCGGCCGCCATGAGGGCGGGCATGCCGCCATCCAACAGGGGATCTCGTTTGAACACAGTCGCGTTTTCACAGAAGGCTTGTGACATCTTAAAACATGCATAAACATGTATAAACATGTATAAACATGTTGTGTGCTTTGAAATTGTGACTTTGAAAATCTTTGAAAATCCCACGGAGAACTGACAAGACAGAGATCAGACCATTCATGATCGACCGCATCAGCACTGGTGGGAAATCACCAAAAAGTGAAGAGATGTGGAAAATTTAGAAACTCTGGAGATCTTTCGGATGTCTCGTAGATCTTTCGAAAATCTGTCGGTCCTTGATTTTGCCCCAGGCTGCCCCATTGGACATGATCTTATCTTTTGTGGATCGGCCACGGGCCATCGACGTCCTGACATGTTTGCTTCACCATGGTAGATGTGGCACCACCTTGTAGCATCTAATCCGTACCTAGAGAAGATTGCTGGTTGAGCCACATTAATCACACGGAGATGTATTAATAATACCTATATAACGTATAATATATATATAGATACATATTATATATATACACACACACATATGTGTGTGTGTGTATTCTATACATAGCACACAGACACACCGAGATCCAACGAGAGGATTCGAGCTTTGAAGAACTAAAAATGTCTTTCTAAAACTTCCATGCCCAATGCTTATATCACTTATATCTAACGAGAAGGTTGAAGGCTCAACACCCACATGTTGTTAAAGAAAGATTTAAAAAATCCATTCCAAGGGGGTTGCCACAGTATCACAGTGGCGCCAGAACGAATCTACATATCGACAGCGAAAAAAAATGGCAAGGACGCTCAGAGTTCGAACCGGGGAAAGCTGGAAATAGCTGGAATACTTACTGAAGGGGAACATCCCTGAAGCGATGATTTGTCTAGTGTTTTGATATCCAAAACCTCGGTAATATTGAATAATTTTGAACAACATTGAATAATATTGAACAACATTGAACAATATTGAACAATTGAATACGATTGATATCATTCTTATCCTAGTGTAATGGCTTGACAGTGTTTTTCAACAAGGCTCGGTTTTTTGTTGACATCCCAAGCGGCGGCGGAACCTCCGATGATCACCATGTCTGGAAAAGTCAAAAGCGGCAACAGAACGTTCCAATTCTTGATGGTAAAACATTGACACAGCGAACCTTTTTTTAAAAAAAATAGCTATGGAACATCACCATGTTTATATACTCGGTAAATCATGTTAAATAATCATGTTTATCATCTATAAATGTGGGCCCTGGCTTCCATAGCTATGTTCGTTCCAGGTGCACATCCTCCTTTGGTGAGAGATATCCCCACTTGAGCAATGCCAAAGTGTTCGAACCACGCTTGGGGTTGGATTTCAAACAATTCGCAGTTTTTATCACTTCAATAGTTAGATATCAGTGCAACTGAGAAAAGAATCATCAAGTTAGATATATTCACTAATTCACTATAATTAGATATACAAACTTCACTATGTACATATTAGGTATTTCCTATATATAAACTTCACGTTTTTTTCCTAACGCCTCGTGCAAAGAACTTTCGCTGGCCGTTCGCTGGCCGCCAAGGTCGGCTTGGCGGCTGGTGTCCTGCGGGGTCCCTGGTGGCGGAAAGCACGTGGATGTTGATATCAACTATTTGGAATATCTATATGGAATATCTATATGGAATATCTATATGGAATATCTATATGGAATATCTATGGAAATGTTTTTACACCTAACCCAAAAACTTTGCTGAGCGGCCAGATGTCGAACCCGGGACATTGCCATCTGCAGCTGACAGTCCAAGTCTTTTTGGTGACATGGAAATTCCATGTGATATTCCATTGATATTCCATGGAAAGACATACTCCATATATATATATTATATATATATATATGATATATATATATATTAAAATTATATCATATTATATCTCATGATTCCGAATGTGGAATTTCCTGCGGTTTGCTCTCGTTATCCCTATCCTTCTGTTTGTTCTCGTCCACTTCCCTGGATCCATGTGGTGAAGGTTCTTGAAACGACCTAGGTACCAGCAAAGATGGCAGCTGGAAATCACTGAATATTTTGCGAAGTAAGTAGAGCCTCAAATAGACATCACCTAGTGATGCCAATGAAGCGCAATTGGAAAACCGATGGAACTCACCTAGTAGGGACAATTTTCGTAATTTTGTTTCGAGAAAACATGCTAGTTTCATTTGTTAACACCTGGACCTCGTTCTTTTTTTTCCTCGTTCAGTTTCGCCGTTCGAGGCTTCAACGAGCAGAGGAGTTGCAACAACGCGACGATGACATGGTGGAGGCCTCCAAAGGCCTGGATATCCATATGAGAGTGAAACATGATATACATGGGATATACTGTATACCATAAGGATATGTAATGACCAATATACATATGTGTATATATATATATATGCAGTATACACATATGTAACATATGTATGTATTATACATATAATTACACACGCATGCACATGACATAGATGTGGGATATCACCAGTTCCATCAGTTAATTCCCCAGTTGCGATGCGTGGAGACTTCCCGATCGAGAAGCGAAAAAAAAAAAAAACGGAGATTTGAAGCGGCCCATCCTCAAAGATTGCCCAGTTGGGTTTTTGATGGTATTTTATTGGGATTTAAGTGCTTAATAATTGTTAACAATGGTTTGTAATGATGAAATGATTAATCATGACTAATTGGAATACCAAAATTGGTAATCAAATGGCTGACTGGAAACCCACATTTAGTGGAGGTGTTTCGCTTCCATTTTTTCCCAGCACCCAGTATTCATCCATGGTCGTTGCCAGGCAGCAAGCGACGACTGAGTTGGGGTGCCTGGCAGGCGAATCGAAACTTGCGACAGGTGGGGATGGTTTCACTGGAGATGGTGGCGATGGATGGTTTCACAACCGGTTGGACTGGTTGGTAAACTGTAGTGTTTACTGTGGGTGAAAAGTTGGGATATTTTTTATGGGTACTTCTGAATGGGTACTGAATGTACCACCATGGGGGATATCAGAACTAATGGGATGACTAATCAAGAATATGAGATGATTAAGATGGGTGTGTTGGAGAATGATGGATTAAGCCCCACAGTGGCGGAAAAACGATGAAGAATCCCAGGAGGCACCCCTCTGACAGGTGCGCACGGACTACAACCGCTTCAAGTGCGATGTTTTGTTGCTTGAGGAGGACAAGTGAAGTGGAGCTCAATTGTTTTTTACAGGGAATGGCATGGGGAAATCATGGGATATGACATAACTATCCAACTCGATTTGATGTATATAATATAATATAATATAATATAGTATAATATAATATAATATAATATAGTATAATATACAATATAATATAATATAATACAATATAATATAATATAATATAATATAGTATAATACAATATATTATAATATAATATGATATAGTATAATATACAATATAATATAATATAATATAGTATAATATACAATATAATATAATATAATACAATATAATATAATATAATATGATACAATAGAATAGAATAGAATATATGATATGATATGATATATATAATACTATATATACATACATATTTTAAGATTTCTCCGCTGGTGAACGGAGGGAGCGGTGGTTGTATTCACCGACTTGGTACTTCAATCCGTACGGAATCGATGGGAATAGGTTGCTGGGAGTATGAAATTGATATATTTGTCGTGGATCATTCCCGAAAATTCCCGAAAATGCACAAGTAAGTACCCTCTGGTAAATTGACAGTTGGACCCTGAAAATCACCAATTTATAGTGGAAACTAGTCTTCCAAACCCGACAACTGCCAGGGTCGTCATGTTAATTTACCAGAGGGTAACTAAGTAACTTAATGTGACCAGCAAAAGATGGCGCATGTTTGACGAAAGATTGACCCAGGAGTTTGAAAAGCTGCAGATCTCCAAGTTCAACAAAGGAGAGAGTGCGGACACCTAGTGTTGTTTAACGGTCGTTGCTCGGGTCGGCTCAAATATGGGAAAACTGGGCGATCATCATGTTTACTGTTGTTGAGAACTGATGAACTGCTTTGTTGACCCATGTAAAAACTCTGTTTACTCTTAGGAAATCCAAACAAAGACCAGCCTCTATAACAAAGAACCAGTAGTTGGTGGTGCAGTTCCACTGAAAAATGGCGTGGCTATACTCATATTAAGCTATATACTTAATATTGTGGTGCTTATATCATCTTATATCCCAACGTTATGAAGCTGACATCAGCATATACCCATTAAATCATATTGAATCATGACTAAAGTATCCAAAGTGCAGCAGCAAGTAGCTCTTTGACCGTTACACTCTGTTGCCAAGGCTTGTTGGTGGCCGTGCTAAAGCTCTGCTGTGGCATCCTCTTTGCCATCCTGTCACTGGTCACTTGGAGCCAAATTTCCGTTTTGTCATGTTTCCGTTTTGTCATCCAGTCATGGAAAAAGGATCCCCCTTCGGAAAGCACCAAATCCATGTCTGATGTTTTTGAGACCCTCAAACAATGGCCGTTTTCATAGGAAACCTGGAGGTTTTTGTTGCCAGTCCAATGGTGGGGATGGCGAACCCAAGGCCTGGGTCCTGCAGATCATCATGAGTGCCCCTTGGCGAATGAAGTGAATGATGTGATGAAGATTTCGGCCCAGTATGACCCAATAATATCCAATAATGCCCTATATATATAGGCATTTATTCATTCATTCATTCATTTATTTATTTATTTAAATAATTAGTGCATTATTTATTTGTTTTTGTATATGTGAACCCAAAACGGAACTTGGCAGTTGTTCTTTTCGAGTCTATATGCACAAAGAGGTCTTGTCTTGGCTGAAGAATACAACAGATGGCTCCGAAATCCTCTAGCAGTGTTGGCGAAGTAATTAAGTTCTGGTGAAGATGTCTTGTTTTGGTGTTCCCAAGTGACTTAGGCAATTTTCCTGAGGGATTCGTCGGCTTGTTTGTTGTAGCTCGAATCAACGTTGAGAAATATCAACCAACAACGTATTGGAGATCGTATTGGAGATCGTATTGGTTGATTGGAATATACCACAACAAATCATTGAAATATCACGTTTCTGTTGATCATATTGGAATATCAAATTTCTGTTGGTTCTGCTTAAATGTTTCTATGTGTCCCTCACTTGGTGAAGTGATAGGATCCCAAGCCATCGCGAACTGGTCGAATCCTGGAGGTCATAGTACCCCAGATCTCAGGGCAGGCGCGTGGAAATCCTGCTCTCAAGCTTCGCCAGCAACGATTCTTGTTTCAAGTTTAATATTTTAATGACCAAAGTCCCATTTGGAGAATCAAGTTTCTCTTAAAAGGTGACTGAAATCACCTTTTGGTCAGGAACATCCTAAGACCTAGCAAAGCTAATTAGTGTGAATGTCCTTCCTCTCAATTTCGCAGGTGGATATCCCCATCAAATGCCCAAATGTTCAGAGCACTGTATAAAACACTAATGAGCATGATACAACCATTTTTTTAACCACCTAACAACACAAGAATAACATGGGAAAACCAGAATTCAGGAGACAATTCTTTAGCTATCCCCAAAAAATGTCCTGGGGCCATGGTTTCCGAAGATCTTCTCACCGCCGCAGCCTGGACCGCCCTTCTTGAACAGCCTCCTTGCTGCGTGCGAGGATGCAGGGCCTGGTTTCCAAAGGGAGGGACCTGGAATCAACTGGCACCGGTGTTGAGGGATTTTGGATGAACAAGTTTTGCTCTGGGGAGCAATAAACACCAGTCGAAACACCGAGGAATTAGCTTGTGAACATTAGGATTTCATCTGCAAAACTGGGGGATTTCTTCAACATTTCGAACAAGGCAGCAATGTTGACTCTGTTGACCAGATTTTGAAAACAACCAAAGAGAAGTGGACGTTTTGACCCCGAAGCTGGAATTCCTGAACATGGAGGGTTTCCAGTTGGACAGGGTCCTGGCTCCGGGTCAGATTGTGTCCCTAACCTCGAATGATGATCTTGCGAAGTTGAGGGATGATCTATTTTTCTGGGTAATCGGTCAGCCACTTCAACCTCACCATTGGGTTGGGAAAATCATCCAATGAAAATGTTTCAGGCCATCCCAAGGCATCTGAGGCCCGAAAAATCTGAGGTTGTACCCCTTGGGCGTGGCGCTCTATGTATCTTGGATCCATGGAGAATTCGTTCTGTTTTTTCCGGAAAAAGAAACAGAACGGAACATTTATTTCAATGGACTTTCAGAGAATTTGAAGGGAGGCTCAAAGCATGGTAGGGCGCCTGCAGTGGATTTATCAAAGAGATGGCGAGCCCATTGGTTTGGATCAAGTACCATCCAAGATTCGTGTGATATCGGAGGAGCCTTTGGGAGCGTGGTAGCCTCCAATGAAGGGGTCATAATCCAGGGGGATGTATATATATATATATTGCATCATCATCAGCACTTATCATCACTTATCATCACTTATCATCACCTATCATCACCTATCATCACTTATCATAAGTACTCTAACCCGACAAATGAAAAAAATGAGGTTGTCGCAGTTAACCCGCAGCTTGTCTTTGAGGCGTGCTTCAACTTCTACATGCTCATTTGCGTCGTTGCTCAGCAACAAAATCATGTCGGCTGATGGTTGACACACAGAGGAAAACCAACAAATGGCGGACAGAGACTTGAAAAAATGGATCAAACTGGGTGATATACCATCTGGTTCTTTAACATAGCCATGGAAAATCACCGTTTTTGATAGGTAAACCATCTATAAATGGGCCATTTTCCATGGCTATGTTAAATAACCAGAGGGTAGATGTTTGCAGTCAACTCTCTCAGCAACGCCGAGTCATGGGTAGCACTTATGCAACGCTCACCCTGTTGGAGCGGGTTTGAAACGCAGGATTCTGGCAACGTATCTGGAATCCTCATCAACCAATCCTGTAACAGAGAGCTCGGACCTTTAAAAATGGCGAGTTAGTCAACTGAGGCAAATATGAACTACCAGTAACTACCAACCAACCATCACTTCTGGACTGAAGCCGCAATTTTTCCACCGAGATCGATCTTTTTGATAGCTGACACATGCTGACACCCCTTTTTTGGTGTTGGTCAAACTCCCTTGTTTCGTTCATAACTGCATTTTTTCTTGGTTGAATCACATGCTTTTGTCAGTTTAATAACATGTTCTGATATAGGTTGTTGGGTCAATGCCCATCTTTGGTCCTGGCTTTCCACGTTGAGGTGAAAGGCTGCACCAAATTTGGTATGCGGGTCCGGGCAGCCGAGAAAATACTGGGAGGGTTTTGAGGTCATAGAAATTCCGGGCTTTTCGTTTCGGGAATATTTTGACAACAAAACCCTAGTTTCCACATATTTGTTTGACCATTGAACATTCCAGTTCTTGGCCGGTGGATGGGGCTGAGTCCAGATTGTTAAGCCATCAACTCAACAAATGGAGCTATTTGTTTGTCACTTTCCACTATTATTTGGTTTCTATAGGTTTCTATCTTGCTGGCGATGATGTGATTTTTTCGGGATGAAATCACCAGAGTATAAACGGATATAGATATAGGGTGAAATGACCCACCGCCATATGAGGGTTTAAGAAAACCATACTTGTCCGGCGGGAAGAACATCTGGCGTAAACTTGACAGCAGATTGAATGTTGTCTTGTCAGTCTTGTCCATTTGCGAATTGGGTGTGTTTCACATGTCATTTTTTGTATGCCGTTTGCATGGCGATGTCCTGGGATGTTTGTGACTCCCCATGGTTGGTTTTCAGGGGTTTTCAGGGGATGGCAGGTGGATCCCACAAAAAATGTTCTCCAAGACGGTTTTGTGATTCACTCCAATTGTTTCACGGATCCCCCGGTTTAGGCACCCAGAGTATACCTTTCCAATCATGTTTAGGACTGCTTGAATTGGCCAAAGGTTCTGAGACATTTCGATCATGGGCAAGGGAGTTGGACCCCTCTCGTAAAACGGCTTCGTTTCCAGCCATCCCCATCAACCGCCCCATCACCACCACCAAACCTGCCAGATCGCGTTCTTCCTGAGTATCCATCCCATGCGGGCGCAAAATACGCCGTTGAACTCCATCCTTTTCAACGTGGAGATGCTGCTAGTCTCCTCTGGAGTCCTTTGGACAACGCGTTGGTGGATTGGTGGCCGGTTCCTAGGGGGGGGGATACAGATTCACCAATTTTGCATCAATGAAACCGCTGCAAAAAATGGGAGTTTGGTTAAGAGCTGTGCAAAAAAGGATCCTTTTCTCAGGGAGAAGTGTGGCCAAGGGGACTTGCTTTGACACGCTATGAGTTGCCCAACGGGCACGGTGAATTGCTTCCCCACCAACGCAGAGGGGAAAGTTTTGCTGAGATTCATGGCTTGTACCATGTTGTATTCATAAACTTTTAAAATACGATAGAGATGTGATTTTACATTGAATCAATTTACCAGATATCCCGCATGACAAGTGTTCGGCGCTTCCGACAAACCGAGACTGCCTGCTGTTTTTTGTTTGCTCATGGCTTCAATCCAAACTGCTCGATTTCATCTACAGAAAAAAAAAAAACTCAACCCTATGCCGTCAAGATAGGATATTCAAATCTGCTCGCATGTAGTCTAAATCTAATACATATATATAATCTAAGTTAAATCTACTGTAATATCACATGCTCTAAGTTTAAAAAACTAATCTAATTCGTCTCTATGTTTAGATGCTTCACAATATAAATATAATCACCATCTAATCTACTGCATTTAAACTTAATCTATTTTAATCTAAGATACCCTCCATTCACATCTTCTTATTCTTCCATTATCCCAATTAAGCCATATTGTCTCATCATCATCTCTACAAAGCCACTATTCCTTATCCCATTATCATCCCACTAATCCTATATTTCGATTTAACTTCAGATAATTATCCATATCCCATTACCCCATATGATCCCATATGATCCCATATGATCCCATATCTCACTCTCATCCCACCATGACTTTCAGATGAATCCAACGATTAATCCAATGACCATCCCATTAAATCACCATGAAAAATCACCATGAAAAATCACCATTGTCATCCCATGCATCTTTCACCATCGGCTTCCGTCAAGGCCCTGGTGCAGTTCTCTCAGACCACCTTCAGCGACTACGCGCGGCTCACGGAGGACGGGCTCCGGTGATGTCTGCGGGGGAAGATGATGAAATGATGGGGAAAAAACTGGGAAATGTTGGTTTTTCCATGGTTAAATCATGGCTAGATCTGGGATACGCTGGTTTTTTTCATGTTAGATCTATCGATATCTCCAAATTAACTATAACATAGTTAGATGCAGAATGGATGGGACGTTTATTGATACAGAATGATGACTATAATCACCCATGGGATGGTATTGATATGTATTGATTTTTACCATAAGATGTTGGTGAAATAGGATCTGCTAGATGGTACAGTATATAACTTTTGCCAAAAAGTAATTTTAAAGTGCAAGCTGTAGGATAGTGCAGCTGGTATTTCTGCTCAAGTTCTCCAAGTTTTCCTTGGCGAAATCCCGATTTTCTCTAGTGACATCCCCAACTTCAGGCCTTCCCAGTTCTGTTTGTAAACTCATCAGGCAATAGAGAGAGATGTACCTTTACACGCACCAAACCCCAACATACTGGGGCCCCCCAAGACCACAAGGTTTGACCAGCTCAACCCCAAAACTACTGATTGAGCAACAGAAATGGGATTTAATCTATGAATATTTGGTATTCATCCCCTTCACAGGGAAAATTTTAGCCATGCACATTGGGATCGCACCAAAATTGAGGTGTCAAATTGTGTTTGGCCAACAGAAATTGTGCATCAACCGATTAACCAAGCAGATGTGGGGTGACGAAAAAACGATCGGCTTCGGCGCCAAAAACTCGTGACCGGTCGTGGATACATCGACTGAAGGGTGAAGGAAATGTGGAGTATCTGTATGTCAATATACCCTATGGTAAATAAACATAGACCCTGAAAATCACCAATTTTTAATGGAAACTAGTCTTCCAACCCCTATCTGCCAGGGTCTATGCTAATTTACCAGAGGGTAAATCATAAAGTGAATACATATTGACCGGTGAATGGGTCTATGTTTGAACCACCGGATTGATGGACAGAATTTTTTGCCCTGCTTTTCAAATCGACTTGTTGAAGGGGTATCTAGTGGGGAAGTGACGAAAAATCTGCTTTTCATGCAATTTCCGGGTCTATTTACATATATTTACCAGATGTGGTATCTGAGGTGTGTGAAAAGCAGCCAACTCCAGGTTTGTCATGGTTCATGATTTCGAAATGTTTAGAACATGATTTTTATATATGTTTATCATTTATCATGGTTTCAGAAGGTTTTTCGAACATCATTTTCCCATGATTTTCACATCATCCCATCATGTTTGTCACATGGTTCCCACGGCCTTAATGGCCTAATGGCCATGGCCATCACAGGCCGACGTGATCTTTTCAGCGCAGATCCAAAGATTGACCTTCTACAGGCAGCGTTGGCTGGCAACGCCAACGGGTGTGAACGGGGGGAACTATGATAGTACTATTCATGAACTATAGTTACCATAGTTATTTGATGAAATATCTATCCATAGTTATTATAGTTGCTACTATAGTTACTATAGTTTGCGATGATTGTAGCTACTGAACTATTGATGATTTCTATTTTTTGGACTTGGGATCTATGGTCATCAGAAAAAATGACCTCACCCTGGTGAGATGGACCCGCCTTAGGGGGACTTGTTTTTCGCAGATCCTCCCTGGTTTTTTGGGGGGGCAAAAAAAAACCATAGATAATCCAAGTTGGATTTCAGTAACCCATATGTTTGCGTATTGTGCACCTCTTAGTTATTCTCAGTAACAGTGTTGCCATCTGATAGTGAAAAACATAGCTAGTTTTTTGCTATTGAACATCGCCGGTAACATTGAGTAGCCAGGCTGCATGATCCTTTGGTCATCTAAGCGGTTTGGAATATCCTCAAGGTTAATAACAAATGGATGATCCAACCGTGGGGATCTTAGCAACGATATCGTGAGATAAATCACGTCGCAACACCGCGACACCTCGCAAGGGATCATTTCTCCGGTTTCTCCAGAGCCAGTTCTGGATGATTTTCCATATTTTCCCAAGTATCCTGTAAACAATGAGACATTTGGCTTCCCGGTGCCACGACTACGGAGAGTTCCTATTAGTTGACACCTTGGTAGATCCTTCTTGGCTTTCCAAGCTTCGAAACTTGGAGGTTCTTCTTTGAGAACCACATCTTCATCATCACCATGCTGTCTGTGCATTTTGGACCAACAAGATGTGCAAAAAAAGATGAGAAATTTGAGAACCATACTGTAGGTGTCACAATCTTTACCCTAAAACTAACATGGGATCCCAAACTTTGTAGGACTGGAAGATGATTTTCCGAGCGGAAATGATTTTTTTGGGATGCAAAAAAGGGGTGAAGCCACTGTGGTTGTCTTGTTTAGTCGGATGGTTTGCATGCCTGGGATTGAATGCAAGTATGCCACACTTGTGACTTGAACCTCTTTTGTTTCATGAAAACTCAACAGTCCTGGTTGTCTGTGACACTTGGCAAACAAATCTGGCTTTAAAAGCCTCCCAGCCGGCAAATCCCAGGTTTCTGATTGCCCTGATCTTCTTGCTCGTGAGGCCTGCGGGCTGAGGTTGAACTTCTCCCAGCCGTCCAAATGGTCTTGTGCAGTTTAACATAGGCATGGCTGGAACAAGCAAGAGTTATAAATTTGATGTTGTTCTGATGTTATTCTATGTTAGATAATTATTTGATATTATTTGATGTTATGCTGTTATTTCTTTGCCACAACATCAATCGAATGCTAAGGAGCTAATGGAGGACTAAATCTTTGGAGACATCGCCATCGGTTTACTACTGAAATTGGTTTGAAATCATGCGGGTCCATTGTACCACATGGTCATTATTTTGGTTTCAGACTGATTCCATTATATTCCATCCACCTACTAGAAGGCAACACGTATATGTAAATGTGGTGAAGCGAAGAGTGAGCCTCCATTCCTGGAAAAAATGGGGCTGGTTTATGGCATTGGGTGTTCCATATTTTTGCTGAGTCGCGGCTTTGTTAAGGGGCCCAATTTTTGAGTGTTCCAATCAAGATTTTGGAAGATTCGTAACTGACCATTTATTATTGGCTGGTTTCTATACCGTTTGGTAATCAACGATGGTAATCGGAAATCCCCTGCAGGCATTTCAATGGGAGAATCATGTAAATGGAGGATGTTCCCTTGCCAGATTCGCTTCCCAGTATATCAATTTTCGCCAACCCGTATCCTATGATTATGATCAAAATCCCCATGACATTATCATGTTCAAGATGATTTTTCCATGATCTCCCAAGTTTTTTTTCCAATCTTCCAAGTTGGGGGTTTGCTAAAATCGGGGTACCCCCCAAATCATCAATTTTCATAGGCTTTTCCATGAAACAAACCATCCAAAAATATGGTAACACCCCATAGAACCAGTTCCGCCTCCAGTGCGAGGCCTCGAGATCAAGGAAGTGTGTCCTTCAGCGCGCCCGACAAGAAGCTTCTTGGGGCATACGAGTGGAGTCATGCCTGGGGATGAAGCCTGATGGTGGATGGACTGCATTCGATTTCCTGGGATTTCATGGCATTGAGTTTGATACTGGGATTTAGATAGCTAAGTTGGTGAATACACCTCCAATAACTATATATAACTATGGTATATAATAGATATAGATATAGTATTTCTGGGGGTTCGAAACCAATAACAAGCATTACTCGGGGAGGGCATCTTGTATGTAGCCAACCATTTGAGGGGTCCCTTGAACATCATCAAAAAAATAAATCACCACAGTTGATGGTTTAGGGTTTAGGGGTTTCCCCAAACCTGTTGATTCCTAGAATATGAAAAGTTACAACTCTTTGATCATTTTTGTATCTTTCGGGTCCCTTGTTTAGGAAACCCTGATATTGCTTTGCCCCAATGGCACATTTGTTGTGGAATGAATGATGTTTTTCTGTGTCTGAACTGAGGGTTTTTGTTTGGCTATATTCCATGATATTCCCATGATGTACCCTCTGGTAATTTAACATAGCCATGGAAAGATCCACCATGTTTAATGGGAAAATCCACTATAAATGGGCCATGTTCAATAGCTTTTTGTATGTTTACCAGAGGGTATGCCCATGATTGTTGGTTTATACTTCCACTTTGGGGAAATCCTGTTGCCATAAGATTCACAACCCTGAAATCTGTGAAAAGCCACCCACCGGGACCATCGAACCACAAAGAACCCCCCATAAATGGCTTTGGGATGCGCCATATTCAGAATCACACAGAAATTGATGAAATTGGGTCACCTGACTTGTGGGTTATGCCATGATTATACCCATTATATCCCATTAAATCGCATTTTTCATCGAAAGACACCATGAAATCCCTATGAATTCCAATTTGAAATGCCATTAGATCCTATAAGATCCCTACGAACTCATCACGAACACCTGACTCCCAAGGTTGGTGTCCTTGGCCACAGCAGCCAAGACCGACAAGTGCTGAGTGTTGACCCTGGCCCCTCGGTCCTTATAGCTACAGTAGTTGTAACCACAGTTACCTCTGGAAAATTACAGTTTGGTGCAGAATTGAGAGCCTGAAAAATCTGATTTCGAATCCAATGATTGAATCTTGCCCTGAAGTTTCCCAACTGGTTTTCCCCAGCGTGCCATTTCAAGAATCGTTGGCCCAGATCACATCAATTACCTTAACCCTCAAAGTACCCAAGCGGGTAGAATTCCAAGCATTTTGCTGCAAATACATGTTTAAAACCAGTGTTGGACAAATTGAGGTCCTAGGTAGAAGATATCCACATGCTAGCTAGTGACAGCACGGGCCCTGCCAAAGAATAAGCAGAATCGTGCGTGGCGGAGTGTACAGGAGCAGTGCAGGTGGCGGCAAAAACTGGAGGGAGCATGCCCAACTTTCTCTGGTAGCTCCTGCAAGTTCTACTTCTTGATTGGTTATTAATTTACCTGGTCCATTCGAGATAATAAACCCGCATGAACTAAGCCATCATTCACTTTATACCGGATACATTTGGATACCTATTAATCAACATCAACCAGTATCTCATGGGATAGGGCTAGCAACTCCGTTTCAGGCTTCGTTGAAGATAGAGTTTTGGAAATTCGGGGCGGAGTTTTGCCGAAGGTCTCAGATGTGACACATATGGTGGGTGTTTCCAAATGGCCAATGATGGCAATTTGGGGGTTTCCATGAATGGAGGTATCCCAATAGCTGGATGGTTTGTTTCATGGAAAATCCGAAAATAAGTGGATGATAACTGGGGGTACCCCCATGACTTAGGAAATCCCTATTTCTCAAAAAGCAAAGGCATCTTCCAGAGTCTGCACCAACCTTCTCTGCTCGGCCAATAGCCACCACATGCATTGGAAAAGCTGCGAAGGTTTCGAGTGGATCTGTAAACTGATGAGAGATAACATCCAATAACCCAATGTCTATATTACGAATTTGTCCAAAATGGGGGATACCCCAAGTTGTGTCAAATTCGGGCAAAATGAAGATGAGCTATGACAGCTATGAGATTTTCAGACCCATCCACCATGTTGGTCTGCGGGATTCACAGCAGAACATTGCTATTTAAACATAGGGAAAATGAGGAAAATGAGGTTCTACACCAGGAGAAAATGGGCTTCTCCCCTTGAGTTTCACGGAAAGCCAAAAAATCATGCCTATTACTCAACTGTCAATGATCACATGTTCATAGAGATCATATCAGTCAATATTATATATATATATGTCATATCAATATCTAGCTATTATTCGTTAATATCACATTATATACACTGGTTGGTGGTTTGGCACATGTTTTTCCATTCAGTTGGGAATGTCAAAATCCCAACTGACGAACTCATATTTTTCAGAGGGGTGGGCTCAACCACCAACCAGATATAGCAATGCCCAAACAGATAGAACAGTTTGATGGGAAAATATGACAGACATGATTGAACTACCATCCTGGTTGCACACTTTTTGGCATCTTAACTTGTGGCTTTCCACATGGCAACCTGGCCACTTGTTTTTAAACGTATCTATCAATAGAGAACCAGCATGTGAATATCATAAGACACCCATATGAATATGGGTGAATTCACAATATTGATAGATTTCATGTTCAACAAATGTATATATATATATGATAATATATCATTAATAGTGATATTAATATTTTTCTTATCATCAATACTATTATATAATATCAATATATCAATATGTATATGTAACTAATAGTGATGATTTTCATCAGAAAATCCCGTCGCCAGGTCCAGCTGAAAAAAAGGGCCGCATTTGGGGTCTCCAGGACTTCACAAGTTGGTGGGTTAGGACCGTTAGGAGATGGGTTGATGGGTTACTATGGTTACTATGGTTACTTGGTTGGGATTTATCTGGATTCGCAAAAATGGAGATCAGAGGATATAACATGGCTGCTGATGGTTGATTGGTTATGCTGAGATGATAGCTGATTGAAAAAGGGGGATTGTGAGAACATATGATAAGCCATGGGATCGGGAAACCTACTAACCAATAGAATGAGATGGGAAAACAAGCTATTTTTACTGCTTCAACTGGGGATAGAACTGATAGAAGTGACAGAACTGACAATTGAAATAAGTACTGTAGCAAGGAGTTGAAGAAAGATGAATAGAATATGATCCACGATTTATACATTGACTTGTTCCTGGATGTACATGTATGTTAATTACAAGATCACTTGCATATAACCAACGATACTGCTCGATTTCATGACATGTGCTTTATGCAGTGACTGCTGACTTACTATAGTTGCACCCCGTTGCGATCGATGATCCCAGGAATCAGAAACTTGACCATGGTTGCAAACTTGCCATTGGCGCACTTTAAGCCTTTTAATTTTAATTATTAACACATCTTCCATCCCGAGAGCAAGAAATACAGTGCAGCCCATCAGCAGAAGTTGATGTTCCCTTTCCTGGGTTATCCTCCAGGAATCTAACATGGAAAATCTCAATGTAGATTTCAGGTCAAAAGGCCATGTTTGATTATCCCAAAAGTCACATTAGTTCCCAGTAAATCCCATATAAATCCCACATCACCATGAAATATCACCATGAAATCCATATTTCCCCATGGTTTTTTTAGCGGCACTTTTTCAAAAACGCGCCGTGAGGACTTTCTCTCCGAGTTGGGTCTGTCCGAGTACGAGGCCTCTCAAACTCCACATGGGGAAATCCCCGAAGCAAATGGATGTCATGAATGAGAAAATCATCTATGAATAGGGGAAAAAATCCATTGCCGGCGGGTTTTTGTTGGGTATATTTTACATGGGAAAAATGTCTAACTAGTCAAGAGGAGATGGTTCTTCACTGAGATATAGATCAAAATTGGAGCCTTTTCCTGCCAAAGTAGTCATGTGCATTCGACTGATGTAGCTGTTTTGCTTCCAGAAGGATTTCAGTCTCACTGCGAGGCCCTAGCATCCTGGATTGATGTTTCTCTGAAAATCGAGTCCAAAATCCACAGACATTTCCTCATTCAACTTGCCATTTTCTGAGTGGTTAATCCATGTTAATCCATGTTAATCCTCCATTCTCCCAGAGGTCACCCAGTGGTTAATCTGCCAGGAGGAAGTCGTGAAGTGGGCCAGTGACATGAGCGCCATATCTTTGGAGGTCGTGGGATCGATGGGATATGTGGGGTTTTTAACAATGCCATAAACGATCCATCCAAATCACCATAAAATCACCATCCTTAAATAGGTGGTATGACATGACATTTTACCAACATGAGTGATGTTGAATGATATTGATATAGTCATCCAACTCATTTCTATGATATCGGTCGCAAAAAAAACGACAGGAATTGGTGGAGAATGCTCAGGAGCCAAATTGGGGGCGCGTGGACGATTGGGCGGCTTATTTGTGGTAGATTCAGGGTTTCCAATATGGAGGTTTCCGAAAATAGAGGTACCCCCCAAATCATCCATTTCTAGATGGATTTTCCATCATAAACCATCCATGTTGGGGTCCCCCCATTGGAAAATCCCGTCAAAATGTTGACCCATATCCCTACGTTGGACTGTGATGCATCATTGATGAAGATGATTCATAGCTTGAATTGATCGCCTGCTGATACTTCGAGTCGCTGTGATCGGTGCAGGAACTGTTCCTGTCTCGGAAAATGCACCAACATGTCTGAGGAAATTGTGGTAGAATATGTTGATACTTGCTTCATGTTAGTTTGCTGTGATGGCCCAGTCTGGGGCTTTTATCTGGCTGTAATCTCACCTATTTCTAGATCTTTTTCTTGTGTTTGATTGGCAAATTGCTGAGCTTTTGGGCCAGATTAGGTTGAGGCTGTTGGAAAAAGTGATTGTTTGAGAGGCACCCCACAAATTTATGGTTGAGCAATGTTTAGTATCATTTCTACAAGCAAATTGGCCATTTTGGGGAGATATTCCCAATTTTCAATTCCAAGGACCTAAGCGAGGCAATAGGTTTGAAGCCGTGGGAAGGCCCAGAAGGCCCAGTGGAACCATGTTGATTCATGTTGATCCCCCGAAACCCACTGGCATTTGGGACTGTTCCGATGACCCGATGAACCGATTCATTACAAATGTGTGGAGTATAGCAACCCCAAGAGTGAGAGCAGGTTCAATGTATCAGGATCGGGTTTCGAAGCTGCTTTATCCTTGAGGTTGTGATGTATCTTCATTTAAGAGTCTGTTTGAAAAGTGTTGGTAGGCAGGATGTTTCCCAAACATGACCGCTTCCATGGGAAGGATCATGGTAATCAATTGGAACTGGGATACCCAAATTTCAGACAAACCCACATGGCTTTCCCATTGAACATCATGGGACATGTCGAATTTCCGAGATCCCAGGCTGGAAAGGAAGCGGCTTGAACGCCATGGACCGCAGGAGCACCTGCCATTGAGTGGTAGCTGCTTGGGCTTGCTAGGGAATATACAAATGACTATGTATACGTATATGTATGTGACATAGATGCTGCAAAACTGCTATTTCACGGAGCAAACGATGATAAACCTGATTAGCCAGGGGTGCTATTTTCAGACAAACCCATCCTCGGATACCTTTCACAGCTAAGTTTCAGGTGGGCAAATTGGTGTGGAAACAAACTGGAAGACTCATACCCAGTAGAATTGGTAGATTGCAGACAATTGGAACTTGGATGCTACGCAGTTGCCAACATTTGATAACCAACAACATCCTATAACAGTACTAAGTGTGATACTTGGAGATATCCAAAGATATCCAAAAAAACTGACCTACAAAATCATAGTTCCAAAGTCACGGGCTAGTAAAATGCTAAAAACACGGACGCATCCTACAAGTTGGGGCCTGGCTAACTGGTAGACATAACTTGGTTCACTAGGGCCGAGGGTTTATGGATATAAGTGATATAAGTGATAGAAGTGATAGAAGTGATAGAAGTGATAGAAGTGATAGAAGTGATAGAAGTGATAGAAGTGATAGAAGTGATAGAAGTGATAGAAGTGATAGAAGTGATAGAAGTGATAGAAGTGATAGAAGTGATAGAAGTGATAGAAGTGATAGAAGTGATAGAAGTGATAGAAGTGATAGCAGTGATAGCAGTGATAGCAGTGATAGAAGTCATAGAAGTCATAGAAGTCATAGAAGTCATAGAAGTCATAGAAGTCATAGAAGTCATAGAAGTCATAGAAATAGAAGTCATAGAAGTCATAGAAGGATAGAAGTGATAGAGTGATAGAAGTGATAGAAGTGATAGAAGTGATAGAAGTTATAGAAGTGATAGAAGTGATAGAAGTGATAGAAGTGATAGAAGTGATAGAAGTGATAGAAGTGATAGAAGTGATAGAAGTGATAGAAGTGATAGAAGTGATAGCAGTGATAGCAGTGATAGCAGTGATAGCAGTGATAGAAGTCATAGAAGTCATAGAAGTCATAGAAGTCATAGAAGTCTAGAAGTCATAGAAGTCATAGAAGTCATAGAAGTCATAGAAGTCATAGAAGATAGTCATAGAAGTCATAGAAGTCATAGAAGTCATAGAAGTCATAGAAGTCATAGAAGCGATAGAAGAAGCGATAGAAGCGATAGAAGCGATAGAAGCGATAGAAGCGATAGAAGCGATAGAAGCGATAGAAGCGATAGAAGCGATAGAAGCGATAGAAGCGATAGAAGCGATAGAAGCGATAGAAGCGATAGAAGCGATAGAAGCGATAGAAGGGATAGAAGGGATAGAAGGGATAGAAGGGATAGAAGCGATAGAAGGGATAGAAGCGATAGAAGCGATAGAAGCGATAGAAGCGATAGAAGCGATAGAAGCGATAGAAGCGATAGAAGCGATAGAAGCGATAGAAGCGATAGAAGCGATAGAAGCGATAGAAGCGATAGAAGCGATAGAAGCGATAGAAGGGATAGAAGGGATAGAAGGGATAGAAGGGATAGAAGGGATAGAAGGGATAGAAGGGATAGAAGGGATAGAAGGGATAGAAGTGATAGAAGTGATAGAAGTGATAGAAGTGATAGAAGTGATAGAAGTGATAGAAGTGATAGAAGTGATAGAAGTGATAGAAGTCATAGAAGTCATAGAAGTCATAGAAGTCATAGAAGTCATAGAAGTCATAGAAGTCATAGAAGTCATAGAAGTCATAGAAGTCATAGAAGTCATAGAAGTGATAGAAGTGATAGAAGTGATATAAGAATTTCCGTCAAACATGGCTTTCTAAAACCAACAAGCACCCGCACAGCACAACGCCGCTCATCAAGGATTCCCTGGGATGACCGAATCATTAGCGACTAACTATTGGAATAGTTACTTTTTTTACCTATTGTTGGTCACCAATACTATTGGGATTGGAAATCATATTAATAGTATTATTCAGACAACAAACCATTGTGATTGGAATCATAGTAATATTATAGCTTTATCAAAAATCATCTATTTCTATGGGCCATATATTTTCTATAGCTATGTTAAATAACCAGAGGCTAATTGCTATTGATTCCATGACGTCGTCTCCAGGGCGTTAGAAACGGATGTTGTTTTTCGGCCGTGATTGGTGCCGTGTTCAGGTCGAGATAACTGGTGTTAAAAACATGCCCAAAGAAGTATAGTATAGTTATATCATGTTTTGTCATGTTATATCTACCATGAACCATAGTAACTGGAGTTATTATTATTTGCACCAACTGAACGCCAATCTACACCCAACATGGTATCAATGAGAGTGGCCCATCAGTCGCAAACCCAACATACCACCAGGCGATGCGACAGATCGTGGCCCAACGCCCGCAACGCCCGCAGCTATGCGCAGCTACGGTCGCCACCCGCGGAGCCGCCAGCCAGCAGCAATGCCTTGGGTCCATATCATGGCTATCAAACCTAGAAAATTATAAACATAAACCTTGATTGTTAATTGGTGGGTTACCTCCTAAAATAGGGCTAAGTGGGGCGCCAGGTGCAGTGGGGCTTTTTTGTAATCCGAGGTTTACATTATTGATGAATATTGATGAACAGATGAACACTAATGGACATGGATGTTTTTGGAGAAATCAACAAGATGATGGGTTTGTCACTGGGGGATGCATCCCCAAAACAAGAAATGTTCATGGCATTTGGCGGCCTATTCTTAGACGAAGAAAGTCCATGATCCTCATCGGTGAGATATGCGTTTTGTATTTGGGGCACCAATCCTTGCCATTTTCTGCACCTAAAATGTTATAACCAACTATAACTGGGGGAAATGTTCACTTATAACTATGGGGGTTAATTTTCAACCTCAGTTTTGTTCCCATTCGAGGTTCCATTCCCTTCCCCGCGCCCCTTCAGGTGCCATCTGCACCCTCACCAGATGAGCTGCCGACGGGGCTCTTCCAACGCTGAGTTCTAGCCAAAACAGAAACGCTTGAAACGCTTTCACCGCATGACTTGCCAGCTCTTGCCAGCTCTTTGCCTTTTTCTTCGGGTCGTACCGTCGTGCATCGTACAGCTTGAGTCGACGATTGGACGATTGGGACGTTTTCTTGTGCCGATCCAACGGAGAAAGACACCGACGACACCGACATCTTCGCGCTGTGAGCAGAGTTGAACGGAGTTGAACGTGGTGTGCATTTGTACAACGCCGAAAAGTGGAGGGGTGTTGCATGTGTGGAAGCCGTTTGCGGTCCTTTGACATGTTGATGTTTTATCGAAGTTAATGATTATACTATACAATTAATTCCAATGAATTGATTATATATATTGTACACATATATGTCTGTGCATCATGCCATGAAATTCACACATTCCACAGGAGGTGGGTCCACTGCGATGTGCCCGCCATTTTGCTGTGAAGCTTTCTGATTTGGATCGCATGATCAGTCCCTGAGTTCTGCGATTCCAATCTCCGGCTTCCGCCATTTTGTTCTCAGATCGGAAAATAAAGCTGGATCTCAGAGTTTCACCCGAAGGTGTGCCACTAAAAATAGTTTTTTTCATCTGCATTCAGCCGGTGGTTTCACCCCTCTTTTACTTGGTAGATGAATTTGTGAAGGTGAGGCATTTTGCAGCCACAGAAAATGTCCTATAGTGCGTTCGCCCAATTACTCAGATTTTTGAACATAAATCAATAACATCGAACCAATGAATAATCCGCATGAATTGCGGGAGCATAATTTTGGTTTGAGACGTGTTTATCCCAAGAATGGGTGGTGTTCAGGCTCTCTTTCAGCATATCTAAGTATCATACACGCATCATCACACTTCTGTAAAAATATATCCCAAGTACAACAAAACAATCCAAAATTATCCATATATGATTCTATATCTTTTTTTGCCATAGATATGAGATGTGTGACATACAGACATATATGGATAGCTATATAAGTATGCCATTTACATATATATATACATACAAAAATGAAATGATTGTTCATATCTATTTACAACAGAAGATTCCCTTGTTTGATCTCATACTATTAAATAGTTACTATTATATGTATGTATGATAGTCTTGTAGATATTCATATCTGTCTTCATATCAAATTTGATCAGACTGTAGTTCATGGTTAAACTGTTAAACTTCGATCAGACTATCTTCATTTTCATCCATAGTATCTCATCATATCTCATCTCATTCATACTTGATATGATAAGATACCTCCAAACTTCCACTTGATATACCTCCCGGCGCCGGATCCGGATCATGGCGGAGACGCAGGTGCAGTGGAGCTGGGGATTTACCCGTTCATCGCTGGAAAATCACTATTTTAAATGGCTAAATCATAATGTTTGTCATCTATTTCTATGAACCATCTATACCATAGCTATGTTAGTCATAACCGGAGGGTAATGTGGGAAACTCAATGCCATACACAACTACCATTTAGGGATGGTTTACAGAACCCGTTGATGGTGATGAATTGGGGGATAGTTTATAAAATTGGGTTTACCACAGAGGAGAACGGGGATATTATGACCCATATTTACCATATTTCATGGAATATCATTCCCACAATCTGATCTTTCGTGAGAAACAAAATGGGCAAAAATGGTGATCCAACTTGTCCAAAACTTGTGCCCTATTTTCACAGAAACCCCTCTTGTACTTCCAGGGAAGAACTTAGTTCGGAGTACATTATTTGTGTTTTTTTTGAGTAGTGAAAGACAATGTTTTCCATGATTTGCAATCAAACCCCAACTTGGTGTTGCAATCGTCGAAGTGTTGCTCTTGCCCAAGCACTCACTCGGAATGTCTAAACATGCCTATGTTTATACATGTATATATATATATATACGTGTATACATATATATATATACACATGTAACTAGATTACATATGTTTATTTACGTATGTATATATGTACAGATGTACATGCACACCTGTTTAAGAAACAATGAAACCAAAAGGAGTTTCAGGAATCGTTTAAAGGTCTCAAGAATGTATTTCCAGGAAAATTGCATCAGTTCTTGTGTCAGCAGGAGTTTTTGAGTCATATCTTCATATCTTCTACGGGCTTGTCTAGAACGAGGGCACCCTAAGAGACGAACCTCAAGATTCCATTACCACAATTGTTCATCAGAGTTCTTGCTGGTGAATCCCTAGAAGATCCTGTATATTATACACCTATGTGTTATTATTTCTACAATTTACTGCTATTTCATGTCAATTAAAAATGCATATTTACAGGTATATACATATATAGATATATATGATATTTATTGTTTATTTACGGTGGTCATAGCTCCACATTTTAAGCACCGACTTGGCGCCAGGTCAAAAACACGTTCATCGATGTGCCCAGGCGGGGGCTCCCTTTCGAATTGGAATTTCAGCTGAAGCTGGTGGAGACCCGAGACATGTATGCGTATATCTTTGTGTATATATATATTATATATATATATATATTATATATATATATATTATTATATATATATTATATATTATATATATTATTATATATATATTATATATTATATATATATTATATATATTATATATATATTATATTATATATATATATTGTGTCAGCATATATATATATATACATATATGCAGTATATGTGTATAGTATATAAATGTATGTTTCTTAATTTATGTTTATTCTTAGCTGAAGGTGGTGCAATTTGCTCTAAATTTCCTGTCGAATATGAAACAATATGCTGGATCCGTGGAACTGTCAGAATCTGAACATGAACCCAGCATGTGTATACCTATAATTACCTATGTATATATATATATATACAACATATATATATATATTTATTTATTTATGAATTACCTACAATATATATATATATATATGAATTATAACAACCTCGCTGCGACCTCACGTCCATGATGGTAAGAAGGGGAATCCGCAATCCGAACTTTCAGGTTGGTGGTTTGGAACATTTTTCCATTCAGTTGGGAATGTCATAACCCCAACTGACGAACTCCATCATTTTTCAGAGGGGTGGGCTCAACCACCAACCAGAACATATATCATATATGCACCCGTATGAATACACCATATGTACCCAATATCTGTTGGCCGTGTACCGGTACGATCAGAATTCATCATCATTGTTTGTTGCTGATTCACGGTCTTCTCCGAATGATTTGATTACCCTTTGGGTAGATATCTCCACAACCCTAGACCCATTCCCAAATACAGGTGGCCATGTCCAAACATTGCGCAACTGGAAACGTTTTTGGGTGGTGGGACCTTCTTTGTCGGGCAAGATCTTGACAATTAAATCTCCAATTTGGTGTTAAATTCACCTTTTCTCTTTTGCATGTATGTCAGTCCAGTAATTGATTACTGTTTTGAAACCCATTTGTAATCATTCCCTGAATTCGTTGAACGGGGAAAAACACATGGTTTCCTGTTAGATTCCCACTGAAGCAGTTCATCGAATGTCTAATAGTCGTTTTTCAAAACCCCGTGCTGAACGATTGACCGCTTCTCATGAAGTTCTTTATAACCCATGAAATATAGCCAATTATAAGGGCCCATTTACCTAACCACGGCTATGTTTCATGTGTAGTAGCCCACCTACAGCGACTAAATCAAATCACTTTCATATTATCATATTTAATGTGGTACCCAGTAGAACCCACAAAATTCATGACACTTAGAGGTTTTTTTTTCTTGGACCTCGCAGTAAAACACCCCTTTCCCTGTGGTTGATCCAAAAAACGGGCCGACGCCGCGACTCAGCACTGGCACGCCGGTGCCATCGCCTCCGGCCTCCGCGCCGGCACGGCAACAAGTGGCCTTGAAGGAGCCGTTTGGGGGCGGATGGCCTTGGGTGATTCTACAGTTACGGCTGTTATACCAGTTATGTTTGTACTGCTTGTCTCCCCATAACAATGATATTTATGGTTTATGATGGTTTGTGTACAATCCCATAGAAATAAGCAGTTATGACAAATGCCCATAACTGTAGAGGACCATGAAACATAGTGATTTGACCATGAAACATAGTGATTAGCTAGTGGGAAAATGGGGACTGAAGCATTAAAAACCATGGGCTCAGAGGAAAAAATCAAACACTATTTGGGAGTTTGAACAACCAACAACAACAAGAACAACAACAACAACAAAACAACAACAACAACAGCAGCGACAACAACAACAAAACAGCAACAACAACAACAACAACAAAACAGCAACAACGACAACAACAACAACAAAACAGCAACAACAACAACAACAAAACAGCAACAACAACAACAACAAAACAGCAACAACAACAACAACAAAACAGCAACAACAACAACAACAACAAAACAGCAACAACAACAACAACAAAACAGCAGCAACAACAACAACAACAAAACAGCAGCAGCAGCAACAACAACAACAACAAAACAGCAACAACAACAACAACAACAAAACAGCAACAACAACAACAACAAAACAGCAACAACAACAACAACAACAGACACTGTTTTAACCAACCGCAATTGGGATTTAGACATAAAACACCATGAATATTAAGAGATGATAAGAACTTCACAGCACGAGGTCACTGGAATGGTGAATGTAATGGGTAACTATCCTAAAGCGGCCGAACTGTTCAGGTTGATGAATTCGTGTTGATCCAGAGCCATGTTTGCCAACTAAAGATTGAGGATTCTGCAAATCGGATCAAAGCCCTGACTGAGCAATGATTTTAATGGGTGTCCCAAACTGCGGATTCTGCGAAATCGGGTACTCAGTTCGGATTCGTGGAATCCTCTGGGGACCTGGCGAAAATGGGCTCCTGAAATGTTGGATTCTGAGCGAACTCTGTTGCAATTCTACTGCAGCTTTGTTTTCTTGTGTTTCGCCAAGTTGTCAATCTCAATGCATCCTAAGTCACTTGGTGGTTCGCCGATCCAGGACTCGTTGCAGAAGGCTGCAGAGGAAATTCGGGCCACGGCGGATGGGGAGAGTCGGTCTGTCCTGGATTTCCCAGTTATGGGAGAAGGCCCTAGGGTTTTTTTCCCCATCATTTCTCCCACCTGCAAATGAGCCACACTCCAAACGAAGAGGCAAGTTGAATGGGGAAAATGGTGATTAGTGGATTTGGGGTACCACTAATTGCAGACCCCGATTGGTGTAGTCAATGTAGTATTTTGTAGTGGATGTTTATAAATTCATCGGACCACATCTTTCAAGTTCCACCTTAGTTTTAGGGGGAAAAATTACCCCAGATATCCCCAGTCCCCATACTTTGATGTGCATCCCATGGAGATTCATTTCTTGTGGTTAAATCCCCATTGTTGCTTCGTATCCCCATGATGGTGGTTGAATCCCCATAATTGTTTGTTTATATATATATACACCAAAATTTGCATGATTCACCGTATTTTGATACCAGTAGTACCGCACAAGGCGGTGGCAGAAGTTTCAAAAATAGGAAACCTATAGGAGAGGTTGGTTGTTGTGAGTCCCGGATGGCAGAGCGAAGACACTGATGGACCGACAGGTGGTTGAGGTCTCCTCTCTTTCTCTCTCTTTCGTTCTCTTTCTCTGACTATCTACCTACCTACCTATCTATCTACCTATCTTATCTATCTATGTATCTATCGTTCTTTCTTTCTATCTTTCTATCTATCTTTCTATCTATCTATCTATCTCTCTCTCTCTATCTATCTATCTATCTATCTATGTATCTATCTATCTATCTATCTATGTATCTATCTATCTATCTATCTATCTAGAAAACGAAGCTATTCTGCGAGGCGTCCTCAGTTTTTAAACTTGACAACATCAAAAACGCAGCATTCAGCGAGACTTCCTCACTTTTTGCACTTGACAACATCAAAAACGAAGCAATTCTGCGAGACATCCTTCAAAAATGGAAAGTTGAGTGCAGAGCTGACGGCCTCGTACCAATGTGTTTTGCGATTTTTCCACTCCACCTGTCTAAAGTACTGCGCCTGCCACGAAAAAGTGATGCCAGGTCATACGAAGTGCTGCACCTGTCACGCAAAATCATGTTCCCAAAACTGAAGATCTAATGCACCAAAATGTAACCCTTATCAGCGCCCGGACCCCTCCTAACAGCTCTGATGAGCATGTCTCTTGTACTGCGCCTGCCACGGAAAATGCATCTTTGCAGATCCTCTTCACATGTCCCACGCCTGCCATCGTTTTTGGAGATGCTACAAAACCCTCACGTTTTGCTCACTTTTGACAAGGTCCACAATCCCTTGCACCTGCCACGCGAAATGACATTTGAACCTCCAAAAGTGGTCCGAACCCCTGGTGTTTTTCACATTTTAACTTCGAAATGTGCTTCGCGCCACAAGGGCGTGCACTTTTTCGACATCTCAACTGCCAAAAGTGTCCGGACCTGGTGTGTTTTGTACATTTTGACTTCGAAATGTGCTTCGCGCCACAACGGCGTGCAATTTTTCATCTCTCATCTGGCCAGCTGGCTCCGCACCCGCCGCTTTAGCGAGCCTACTTTTCGACCCTCCGGAGCCACAAATCATTGGAAAAACACAGTGTTTCGCGACTTTCCTACCTTTTCGCGCACCTGCATCTTCTTTCTTCTGACTCTTTCTCTTCTCTGATCTTCTCTCTTCTTCTCTTCTCTTCTCTATTCTTCTGCTCCACCTCTGCTTTTCATTTGTCCATATTGTCGGAAGTTTGACTTCTAAACTTCCTTCGAAAAAAACATCCCGTCGAAAGTCATTCCCCAACGATTTCCAGACCCCCAGTTCCCCAGGAACCAGGCGGCAGCCCCACGGCGCAAGCAGCGCCGCAGGCGGCGCCGGCTGCGCCGGCGGCGGCATCCACGGCCGGAAGCGTGGTGAGGAGGCTGGTTGAGACGGTGGTTAAAGCAGTAAAGGAGTCCCGAAATCACCATGAATTCTATGGGTATTGAAAGCATGAAAATATGGGTTTATGACATTGTTTTACTAACATTATAGGGTTTGATGGCATTTCTATGTGATGTAATGGCATGTTATGGGATTTTAACTGGTTTAGTCGCAAAAAAAATAGGGACTTGACCTATGAATAATCATATAGTGGAAAGATGATGAAAAATGGATGTATAAACCAACAATTGTGAGGACTCAACTTAAAACCAACGATAATGGAGATTAAACAAACCATGAACGATATCGGTATTTTAAAGACAAAACATGTATATTTATATATAGCCACTAAAACCTGGCTATATAGTGGTTTCAATTTTTTTGGTTCCAGTCTACCTGAGAACGTGATCCGTGAGCCCAACCAATTGGGTTTTGCACCAGGGCGTCAAGTGCACATGTCAAATTTTCAAGAGATATTTTCTTGTCGCAGTAAGTTGCAGTATCAGTATTGGTGTAACTGATATCTATACATGGTCATAGTAAGCGCAACAGAATAGAACCAAACAAACATGCCAGACTATGACTATGAATGTCCATTTGGTTTCAATATAATGTATATACATATATATATATACACATTTTTTATTTATTCGTTTATTTATTTATTTTTGCCTAATATATATATATATATGACCTTATTTTTTGACTGCAAAGTCTGTTTGTTTCACACAGCCTTTCGAAGTGCCAGGGCGAAACCGAACCCGTTGAACTTCCTGTCGCAGAATTCCATGGTGTCGGAATCCCGGTGCTTTTCCAGCCTAAAGGGATTTGGACCATTTGCGGATGATTTGAATCCCAAGAAATTGGTGATGACTTGTGAATGGTCTAGTATTGGGTTTACCACATTACCCAATTCAAGGAACAACAATGATAGAAAAAAACGAGATATTTCACGAGAGATACTGGAATATGAACGGGATATTGATGAACTATTGATGTATATCCTCCGGTAATCAAACGTGGCTAGCTAGGAATCCCCTATGAATGGAGGTTTATAGCTGGGAAAATGATCTATAGATAGGGGATTCCAGCAAACCATGTTTGATTATCAAAAGGGTATAAAGATTTAGTGTATGTAACATTGTGTATGATTTATTACTTAATCCCTTTCCAATATTAGATACCCCCTGTGCAAAATCTGGTTTAGTATTGGGTCTAGGTAGAAAAAGGGGTCCTTGTCTGAGGTGTTTGATATTTAAAATATGTTGATATGATCCGAAGGGATTACCATACTGGAGATGAGGCACTCATTGATTTCAAACGTCAACGCTTCAGCCATCTTCAGCCCTAAAAATGGGATGATCCCCAAAATACCACCCTGTCACACCCATATCACATCTAAAACATCGTAAAACATCGCTGGCCATCCATAGAGAGCCGCTCAGTAATCAGTCGTCAGGGCATCACGTTGATTAAGGGCAGTGGTTTCGGCCACTTGGATGTGTCCCGTGGAGTGACGAGATGATTGGTTCGATTGGTTCGAGGTCTCACGGATGTCTCATGGATTTCGACAGCGTTCAACAGCGTCGAAGGTGAAGTCAGATTTGTTTCATGAATTTGATGCATCTTTCTATATCTTTTTGGTTATCCACAGGCGACTTGGGGGCTGTTTTTCCGTGGAAAAAACATCACCAAGGTCGATTCCGGAAGACCAGGTCCGGTGTCATGGGAGGATGGGACCGTGGGACCTGGAGATTCATCACGTCACTGGGATGAAGCAACAAGAATGGGAGGCCATCGATTCGAGCAAACTGCAGCCCACATTTGTCTCAATTTGTCTCAACGGCATTCTGGTCACCTGGCTTCAAAGACCTACTATTGGTGCCGAAAATAGAGGGACCCGAGACCCGATCAAGGCACTTACCAGGCTCATGGGACAAGACAGGTCGCGACAATTTTGCTGATTCATTTCTTTGCGCACAACTGGTAGACACCACATTGTTGGTCACTTTGATTTAATGGTTGCGCAAAAAGTATCCACAGTGCTACGGTTTCCATCCTTTTCCATCTCTCATTTTGAGTCCTGGCCGAGTCACCCATTCTTGTTTGTATCACCCGGTTCCTGCAGCATCAGGAATTCCAGTAAAATCAAAGACAATCTCGCATTGCGAAGTCCGAAGAAGTTTGGAGATGGTGGTTTCCTAAAAGAAGGCTATCCCATTTATCATCCACTTCAATAGGATTTTTCCAAAATAAACCATCCAAAGCTCCCTTGGGGTACCTTCCATTTTGGGAAATCTCAGGCGAATGGCCAGGCGAAACCGGCGGATCCCATGAAGTTCGTGTCAGGCCGGCGGTTTCAACGGTTTCAACGGCCGGCGGTTTCAGTGGTGGATCCCCAAGTTATGGATTGTTTATTTCAAAAGATGACTGATGGCCCATGGTGATTGCCATGATTGGATTATTCGGATCATAATGAATCATAATTTTTGGATTGAATAATCCAATCATGTTGGTCATTGAATAATCCAATAATGATTGGAAACCATGAAGATATGTTGGGTCTTGTTTTTCTCAATTTGGAAAAGATGCTGATGACATGGATCAAAAATGCTTCGATATTATAAGGAGTTTGGTGCCCCCGAAATCATGGAATAAAGCACTTGGAAAACATTTTGGATTGAACCACGCTGAATTTTAGGTTCCCACCTTAAATCGGATTTTTTTGAGATCCTGCCGAAGGTGGATTGCGAATTTTACCAAAACATGTGATCCGAACAGGTAACAAATTCGGTTGGACAGCAACAATTAAGCAAAACAAACATGGAGTGCCAAGAACAACTTTGATCCAACGACGGAAGCACAGAAGATGAAGCTATGGGATCATTTTTCTGCTGTGTCTCCTCCGCTCGGTTTAAGGGGAAAGCATGATTTGGCCGAGTTTGGCCATCAAGTTTTGTCAATGGCAAGGCATTTTTGGCAATCAGCGTTTCGTGATGCCTTAACTCTGCCCCTACAATCAAGATTTCGTTCATAGAAATTTTCCCATGAAGATTTTGTGATAGTCTGACCCACACCAGGGGGGTCTGCCTAGGATGACTAGTGACTCGTTGTATCTACCCGTTCTCCGGAATAGACCTCCGGTCTGACATTCCCAGTATTGCAAATCCGCAGGAAACATATTCTATTATATCGTTTATGCAATTGAGTGGTAAAAACCCATCAGGTTTCTCGAACCAGTTTAAACTAAGATAGATATGAGCAGTGTTTAAAGCCGTATTGGTTGATTAGTGCAGGGATATCCGCAACCCAATCCATTGGGGATTGTCATCCATGAAGTGGGAATTCCGTTCTCAAACCAGATGGAAAATTCCCATGCATTGTTGGTTACCCTCCTGTAAACGTCTACAGATAGATACGGAAAACCCCAGCCCAGAAATGCCATGTGCCAAAGGTGTATCCGAGCTGCCATCCACTCCTGCGTACACCTGGGGTGCCACCGACCTCTATTGTGGGTGGTATCCTGGGGGGAGCTGATGATCGGTGCACCTACAACCAAGATCTGAGCACCATTTTTTGGGGTTTGGAGTTTGGATGGTAAAGTCCTGGCATTCTTTTCCTGGACTCTTGGTGGTCTATTGAGGAGGTCGGAACAACTGGACTGAATTTGGGAGATGTATCTGGTTTCAGCTGTGGGGCAAACCCAAACAGGACTTGCCTGAATTTTCAGCCACCAGATTCACGGGATTGAATTCCATGATGCAGAAATCTATGGCGGATTTCTGGCTTCTCAACTTTGAACTCACAGAAAAAGAGAAGCATCCTGTTTGGCTATATGATGTAGCTCAAAAACATCCCGGCGGATGCGAAACCGCGCGAGCGTTTTGAGGGTTTGCTGAATAGGACCGTCAGAATCACCTGTAATTTCCAATATAAAATGCTGTTCCGAACTCTTTTGATAACTCAATTTTGGTGAAAAAAAGTGGCTTCAAAATCTATTGAATTTTGACAAATCCTTGTAAATACCATGTGCATCAGACGTGGATTCGGCGAGTTTTTTTAACACCCATCGTCGGCTCAGCGATCCATCAGTTTGGAAGCTGTCTTCGACAGCAAGTTGCCATTATGGCACTGATAACGCCATTGCCAGCAACGCAGGTACAGCATGACATCTTTGTTCTGCCCTGCTTTTGTCTGCAAATTGCTAGGCACAATTTTTTTAGCCAAATTCCACAGAGAGGTCAATCTTCCCTGTGTGCACTTGGAGTATGCCCAGCCTGCCACGACGCACACGTCTCACCCACACGCCTTTGCTGTGGTTGCAGAGCGTGACATGCAGAGCGTGTCAGAAGTCACATGGAAAAAGTGCAGAGCGTAACATCCAGAGCGTGTTAGAAGTCACATGGAAACAGCGCAGAGCGTGACATGCAGAGCGTGTTAGAAGTTGCTAGGCAAAAGACAGAGCGTAACATCCAGAGCGTGCTACGCAAGTGATGTTAGGCAAGAGCGTGTTCCACGCACTCTGCACATGACGTTAATACCCCACCCCACCCCCCCACCCCACCCCCCGCCCCAACCCCCCACCCCACCCCAACCCCAAGACAGAGCAATCCTCAAAAAAGTAGCAAAACGCACGTACGGTTTTGCAGCCGTAGGCAAAAACATCATGACACATGGAGGTTTTCTAAAATTTCGGGTACCCAAATCATCGATTTGTAGATGGATTTTCCATGAAAACCATCCAATCCATACCTTGGGGATCATGACCTCCGGAACCCCGGTCGGCCAGGTGTGCTGCAGACGCCCACGGGGACGCCATCGGGATATCGCGTCGCTCTGCCAATATCCCACTAAAACACACACGGGTGATTTTTAAGGGATGCTTTTCTAACGGTGCTTTCACATGGCGTCGGCGACATGCTTCAGGTCGTACTGGTCCAATGGTTCAGATCACTGCGAGGCGATCCCAATAAGATCCACCTAAGATCCCCAAGGATGGAAAATATAGGTGGTTACCGTGGTTTATGTTGCTGTACCATGCTGTACCATGCTGTACCAACACCAGGATCTCAGGATCTCGGTCTTGAGATTTCGAGTTCGACTGTTTCTACCTGTTCAACTGCCATACGTCAGATATCATCCCATTAGGATCTTGGCACCGCACGAAAGAGCCTCAGCTGAGGCATATCAGGCCCCAATGTCCCGTACTCAGTCGGTCCAGTGCTCCCTCGGAATATGGCTGGGAAATCCCGGTTTTTTTTGTTTCTGAGGCAGATTTTTGCCAGTATGCCTTATATCAAACATTAGCCTGTTTAAGTGCCTGTTTCTGTCAATTTATACATATAGAGTCTCTTTCTCCAAAACACAGCCCCTACATAGCCCCATACATAGCCCCATGCATAGCCCGGATTGATGTAACTGATGTTGATATTCAATTTCACAGTAAAAATTTACACCCTGACCCTACCTTCAAGGATTATCCATGCCCCATTTTCTTTAAGTCTTTCAATGTGCATGTGCATGTGCACAATCGTTAGCCTGTTTAAATGGCTGTTTCTGTCAAGATTTCCGTATAGAGATTCTTTCTCCAAAACACAGCCCCATACATAGCACCATACATAGCCCTGATTCAAGCCCAGATTGATGTCAAAACTGTTGTTGATATTCAATTTCCCAATAAAATGTTCACCCTATCTTCGTGGAAACTTCCCGAACTGCCGAAATGTCCAAGAGCAGCAATGCCCTTTTTGAAAAGCCAGCTGCGCACAGTTGGAATTAAGAGCGCTGCAGGATTAGTCCAATAGGAAGCTTTAAAACAAATTTGAAGTTTAGGCACTTGTTGAGTTTGGACATGATATGTTGCGATATGATTCATATGATGTGATGGTATGACTTGACCTATACGACTTATGACATGATGCAAATTGACATTGCATGACTCCATGTGGAATGTTGTGGTATGTTATTTCGGTACGATTTGTGTCTCTGTGTCTATGTCTATATACCGTGGAATTACCATAGCGTGGAAACGTGGAAGAAAGGGCTCCGTGATTTGATGTTGTCATGATGAAAATATTCGATGCGATACATGGTGATAAGATGTGGTATGATGAAATGATACTAAAGTATCAAGTAGTATAAAATGATATGTGTTGAAAATGAAGCGAAATGATTCAACATGCAATGATGTTTTAAATCATATGATGAATGATTAAGATATCAGATATCCGTAAAAGAAAACAAGTTGAAAAATATTGTTCAAATAAATGCAGAAAAAACACTACTTTGGGATGCACAAAGAACGGTTCAGAACGGTTCTCCGATGAAAACTTCACCCCTCAAAGAACGGTTCAGAACGGTTCCGTTTCCGTAACGGTTCAGAACGGTTCTGAACTATTTGCGTTTTTTGGTACTTTCTACAAAGAACGGTTCAGAACGGTTTCCTGGCAGATGTCTTGGGGCTGTGTTTTGGCACATGTTTTTTCCATATCGAAATTTTAAGTTGAAAACGTGGCCTTAAAGCTATGAAGTTATTATTGAAAGGGAAGGGCAGTTTCTATATTGAAAAATGTCGCAGCAAAGAAAAACGTCTCACACTGTGTAAGTCGTAAAAGAGAAGTCGAATATTAATAAAAGTAAATATAAGAATCACAATTTAATTTATGCGCTGCACAAAGCCTGGGAAAGGCTCAATCCCCAGCTCCGATTTCACGGCCGTTTTTTTTGTTGTAGAGTCCTTCCTCTTCAGGTCCTTCCCAGGTGGATTGAAGCCGCGAAAATCATTTAAGACAACAATAAACACACAAAAAACTCCCAAAAGCTGGTCCAAACGTGCCCAAACACCATGCGTAAACACCCCCACAATAGTTCAGAACCGTTCTGAACCGTTCCTAGGGGGAAGTTTTGGTGGCAAAGTGGAACAAAGTGCAGCCCAAAGTGCAGCCCAAAGTGGGAACCAACCCCATGTCACAGAATCATAAAGGAGAATCCTGACTATCCTTACTGGGTCAAATTTCCATATCGGCTCTGAGAAGTTCTCAGCATGTAAGGTGCGCCCAAGCGCCTTGGCCGCCACTGTTGGCGCCTGCAAATCGTCCAAATCCAAACGATCAGTGCAATAGCCCCAGCTTAAGCTACATCCCGCACAACCAGCCAATGAAAGAGGTCACTCGAAGCAAAGGCAATTTCTTGCCAACGCTGGAGAATGATTGAAAAGGAGCAAAATTTGAGATAATCATAGACTCAAAATCAGAATCGTTATAGCACACAAACAGGCGTCAGCAAGTAATCAATGTCAGTTGTCATCACAGTATCCAGCCAAGAAAAGTCACTGAAAAATGAACATATTCTTGCCAATGCGCAGAAGTATGTTTTACCGCCGTGCTACCCCTAGCTCAATCTTGGCCTGCTCTTTGCAGCTATGGATCAATCCGGAAGGTGACCAGATTCCCGGCAATGCACCGTGATGAATTGGACCATATTCGAAGTTGTCCTTGTCATAGATCTCCTGCTGCACACCAACTATATAGCAACGGCAGATTCCAAGTGCCAAGCATTGGGGGGGGCGCCGTGCCCATGAAAAGGAAAGAGGTTTCAAGTTGCCTAAAAAAACATGTCGGAAATTCATTCAGCCAGTCTAGACATCAAACCATCCAACACTACCTTGACACCACGTCCTCCACACTAGACAAGTCTCTGAAAACTGCTACGCTTCTTCGCGTGCAACTTCAGATGGTGCAAACGTTGATGTAGCAGCAGCTTCCTTACATCAAAGGAGCTGACGGGAAGTGGGAAGAGTGCCCCAAGCACTGTACAGCACTCTCACAAACTCCCTGCCCGACGTAATTGCAATGTATGGTATGACCATTGCAATGAAATTCAAAAAAATGCCACCCGGTGTCAAAGTAGCAAAAAAATGATTTGCTACTAGATGTCTGGGGCTGGTTCATCATCACTACTGCCGCTGGAATCGCTGCTGCTGCCAAAAACTTCGCCGTGCAAGCGCTTCATGGCAATAGCCCCCGGTCAAACATCAAAATCAGGTTGTCAAAAATGCTTCGTGAACTCAATAAGTATGTCACTATGCGGTAACAAAATCCAAGTCTCAAGCAAAAAACACCTATTACATGAAATCATTGAAATCACCATGCTCAAGCCAAAACCCTATGGGCCGATGGCCCTCGATGACTATGCTCAAAGTGTAGCACTGGCGCTCCAATATGTTGTCCAAACAGACTTGGGTCACCTGACTCAAGAGGTTTGTTTCATACCAAGATTGATTGTGAACGCCAAGGCCCGAGGTGAACCCTTTTTCAGACCCAACATGGGTCTTTAACGTACATTGGGGCTCCATTTGGGGCTGCTCACGGGCTGCCCCCTGGGCTCCACATTTTGCATACGGACATGGCAACAGACAAACAGGCTAATGATTGATATAAAGTATGCCATGCCAAATTACGGTCCCAAGTGACTTCAAAACCCCCAGTTACCCGGTGACCCACTGGATCGATGCGTTTTACCCTCTGGCTAAGCTAGCGATGGAAAAAAAACAAACTCGATGGTTGTAAACAGCATCGATAATTACGGATATAAATGGGCACAGCTCAACCACCTCACAACCATCAATAATTTTCCACCAATCAGCAATGAACAGCTATGGTGAAGCATTTTTGAAGTCGATGAACATCAATGCACCAGCTATTTTGATGTGACAGCCTGGTAGCCCCCAGGATTCCGGCGGTAGCAACTCCCACGGATGTGCAGAGAAAGACGCTCAGACACTTGGCACGTGATGAGAGTGGGCATTTTTCCGAAGATATGAGGAGTTAGCCAAGTTAGCCGACAAACATAGGGATTTTCTCTAATTTAAGATAGTACTATGGAAACCATAGCCCATTTAGTTGGATGGTTTACCTCTTAAAACATGGTGATTTTACATAGCTAATTTAATTATCAGAGGGCATACACAATGGATTATATCATCAACCCAGAAAATCCCAGTGGGATTCAAGGCAGTAAACATAGAGATTGCAACTGAAAACCTTCAACCGTGGATTTAGCTCATCAAATATGGCCATTGCCATAGAGCCAACCAATGGATGCGGACATATGATATAACCCGTGCAGTTTTCTGTATGGGTAGCCAATTGTCATTGGATCAAATGATTACATTGGTACCCTGGTATTTTTTTCTCCGGGTATATGGCCACCGTGTTCCATTTCCAAAATGAAATCCCTCTCCCGGGTTCCAATAACGAAACCATCCATTTTGGGCTGAGAATTTTGACCCAGAACCAAGTTGACGCGACTGGATTGATCCTGATTAGTTTCCTCACTGAGGAAATCATCATTTCTGGTTGGTGGTGACTGGAACCATGGAATTTTATGACTGTCCATTCAGTTGGGAATGTCATAACCCCAACTGATTTTTTTCCAGAGGGGTAGGTCAACCACCAATCAGTCATTTCTGGTGTAACATATTTGACCCGGGTCGTGTCGTTTGTCTTGGCTTGTCCTTGAAAACATCCATCACAGGACGGATAGCCACACGCGATTTGACCAAATCTGCAACATGACCAAAGGAAAGTACACTACAATAGGATGATACATTCTTAATGCAACTGGTTGATTTGGATATCAACATTGGTTACTTTCTTAATGGTTCACCAAAGAAGAACGGGAGTTGACCAAAAAGAATTGGACAAACCTTTGGAATGCCATCAGCTGCCATCAGATTTTGATCAAAGATTGGATCTCCCCCAGCAAGATGTTTAAAGCTACTGTGGATGGTTTCGAAATCCCGCACCAGTTGGTAACTCTTAAAGTAACATAACGGAAGGTCGTATGCAACATTATTTGTGGGATGAGAATAGGATCATGAGATATAATTAGTATGATAGTGCAATAGATTTACATTTACATGATTTACATGATTTACATGATTTACATGATTTACATGATTTACATGCTATATTTGACTATAATATCACTAAAGGAACAGGAGAATCAACGCAATCCTTTCGTTACCATGTCGCCATTGCAGTCTGTCCGAGGTCTGCAGGAGATGATCCAGAGCCCGAAGGTGGCGTAAAACAGACAGGTTTCAGCCTGATTCTGGATGATTATTAATGTTTATTATTTTCACCAATACTGGATGATTACTAACAAAACTGGAGGATCATTATTTTCACCAATGAAAAACGGTGGATTCTATGATTCTACAATTTCAAAAGCGGAGAATTATGTTCACCAATGAAAAAACGAAGTGGACGTTACAATTTCAACATGTGATTTTTGCAAGAAATATGGAGGAATTTGCCATTAAATGGGCATTTGACTAAAAGCGATGGCTCGATCGGTGAAGCAAAAGTCTAGATTTGACCGGTGATTTTGTCGTATGATCATCGTTCTTAGTAATGTGACAATGTGGGAAAACCAATAGAACTGCCATTTTTACTTGTCATGGGGATGGTTTGAATGTCACCTGAATTGGGGATGGTTTACAGCATTGGGTTTACCACATGCAAGTTTGTAGGCTTATCGTTTCAACCCCTGTACTTCAACAAGAAAATAGGGATTGAAGCAGCACAAAATTAGATCACCCAGATTTGGCAGCATAATCTGCCACAAACATTAAATTTTGAAAAACCAGGGTTTGGGGAAGGATCATTGGTTGGTCTCAAAATCATGCGGATGTCGCAATGGTGCAAGAAATCCTACAATCGGGTTTAGAATCTTGCAGCGTCTGCTATTTAAAAAAAAATGGTCCCTTATCCCATCCACCGGTCAATCAAAATTGTCCCTACATGAATAGCCATGGTGGTTAATCCCCCAGATTATATATCTCCATATCTCCATCATACACTCTGGTAATTCAACATAGCGGAAGATCAATATCTTAAATACGTGAATCATCCAACTATAGCTGGACCATGGACCATGGCTTCCATGCAGAAATTACCTTCTAGGGTATCTTCATGATGAAATGGTTCAATCCCATGGTGAAATCCCATTTCTTCGTCAAATCTTGCGGACGCAAGGTGGAGGACAAGGCGGCCCTGTTGAACAACAGCTACCATCAACTGTGGAATGCCGCTCGAAGAAAAGCCCGATTATCCATGGGATTTCCATGGGATTCGGGGGTGGCTTGAAACAAAGATGATGAAAGATGTTGATGTTGAAGGAATAGTAAATAGTAGCCATATGGACATGAGTCAAAACCCTTGATTTTCCCATATGGAGCTGACTATATATCCAGCTATACTTACCGAATTCTGCCACATCTCCCCAAAGAACGGCGGTATTTCAAGCAGTGAGGTTCAATCAATGCTGGGATAGCATGGGCCAGATTTCGGATGGAAATTTCACCCACACCCTCACTGTGCCCTCAAACATGGCTGGAAAATCGAGGTGCAACAGTACCCGCCGCAGGCGGCCCGTGACGGACCGATGACGGGACAGCCACCACCAAAACGCTGGCATCCCATGGCAATTATTGGGATAGTTCCAATGATCTTCGCGAACGCCTCAGAAAATCATATGATCATCATATATAATGTATCATATTATATATATATATATCAATTATATAACATATATCTTAGAACATGAAGCGCTTCATCAAGTTTTGTTTAGCATCAAACCTTGGATGATTCCATGGTCCTTTAAGGCGATCCGCTGATCTCAAACCAATCCCTTTGTGAAGGCTATGTCGTCATTGTTTCGAAAAAACCGATGAGCTTTTCGTGGATTCTCCAAAGATGTCCAAACTATGCCTTCTATTTTACAGGGATGAGTGGGATTATCATCAAAAATCATGTTCAAAAAAGGGGGTCAGCATACAACCAATGCCCCAACCGGCCAGGCTCCCATGGTTCCTCAAGGGGTTCGGACCTTGGGCCAAAGGGACAACTGGGTGATGGTTGATGGTTGGAAGCCATAAAAACTGGTAACTTTGGAGATGGTTTACTATTGCTGTACTAACATTACTGCTTGGTGGTTTCACATCTTTTTTCAAATATGTTCAAGCATGTAGGTGGGATGATGATTCTTATTGACGAGCATATTTTTCAGGGTTGAAACCACCAACCAGATTTCCTGTTATAGTGATACTGAAACCTAATTCGTCGAATGAGGACATGGCTAGTAATTGGTTTAATATATCTCGTGATTATGCAAATGATGTGGGAAGTGGTTGAAATTGATCCCCAAATAATCCACTTATCTTGGGGTCAGGAGGGAAATTGCCAATGTATTGCAACACGTGGGGATAACCCCCCGGATTGCCGGTCAATGGTGATTCTAGATGAGGAAATGGCTGGTCATGGGTTGGATATCAGACAGTGTTAGCAACATCCTTTTTTTATTCGCGAAGTATGGGTCAAAACGGTCAAAACTTTTTAAAATAAAATGCTACTATATACAAGCCAGCCATTTTGTGGGTCCGGTTGCAAGGAAAAATCCAAGCGGCCTTTTTTTCGTGGGTGCTTTGATGGAATGGTGATCCCTGTTCTGCTCCTAAGACAGGGGTGGCTCACCCCCTGGCCTCGGCTGGCAAGGCGCTTCACGCTGTGCCGCACGGAGTGGTTCTGGCATGCTTGGGGGCTGACGACCCAAAAACGAGGGATCTGGCTGATGCGCGTTCCTGGGAGAGTGGTGAGGCAACACATTTATTGGCATTTACTTTCATTCACCATTTTTGGATGCCGCTCATGTTTCCCAGTGACGTGCTTGCCCCAGATCTTTCATCCCACTTGGATGCTCTTGCATGTCAGTGTTGGCACGAAAGTGGCAAAGTTGGAGAGCAACAGAGAAAAACAAGAAAACATGGCGACCAAAAAGAACATGTCACACAAGCCAGATCCGGGACACTGTTGTTGGTTTTCAACATCTCCCAATTGTGGCTTACCTCTTGATATTCTATTCCCTGGTCAGCACTATTTTTACCAACGTAGGTAGAAGATGTGAGTAGATCAGTAGATTTGCCATTCGTGCCGGCCGCGTCTTGAATTGTGAACGGACCATGGTGACGGAGTGGCCAAAACTGCGGGTGAAACATCATTTTCCCCCTGAAATGACCATAGATTGGGGGTAGATCTCCATTTTCAGACAAACCTAAACATGATATCTAGCTATATAATGCTATATATATACATACATACATTATACACATGTTTATCCCATTTTATCCCCATCAGATCCTAATTATATCGCCATTATATCCTCGAGATATCCTCAATTGGTGCCAGGCGCCTATGGCCATGGCCATGCATATGGCTGCGGACTGAGACGTTTGACCATCTTTGGAGGTTCATCTAAAATTACTAGTGAAGCCACACACTTGGGGTATGTGTACATGCCACATATAACTGGGTTATGTGATCTGGTTATTGCCCACTTTCCATTGCGGGTACAGGTACCCAATCTTAATCCATAGTGTGGGGATTTGTCAATCCATATTCTGAACAACATATCATAACCTCAGAAAGACTCTACTATGGATCATGGATAATGATGGCATGTGGAACCACCAAAACATGTGTTTTTTCCCCATCTTTGGATGTTTAGAGGCAGAACATTTGGTCTAAATCATCTAAAGTAATTGCGTCGGTCTCAGGTACACAATGAATCAATGTGCGACAGGTCAATACCACACATATCCTAAAATATCATGGGAAGGATGAACATCCGGAGCACCAACTATGTTGGTGTGAAAACCAGGGTGTGACACACATACCTATGTCAATCCTTGTGGTCGTGTCTATTGCGGCAGTAAAGCAGGGAGAAATCCAACCAAAAATGCGTGGATAAACTACCAATATTGTGGGCCATGACGAACCAAAACCTGATGGAGTGGCAAATCAAACTTGCTGGAAAGAAATGCCACTCCTACATAGGATGATGTTGACCTTTGATGAACCTTTAGCAAGAGAAAAGGCATGTCTACTGGGAGCTTATCGCACTTCATCCGTGTCATCCGTGTTTGGGTGCACCTCCAATTACAGCCGTCGGTTCTGACGTGCCCAGCGAGCACAAGGCCCCAGATGCGAGCTACTCAGTGCCCCAGGTGCAGATTGTGTCAGATTTTCAGCGTCTCCAGGTAGATTCAGATACCTTTTTTGTGTGAGCCACATTTACCGCTACGGGACTCTCCAACTTCATATTTGATGAGCCAAGTTCGTTAAAGGGGTCGTTTTTTGACCCGGAACTGGTCTGACTGTCCGTCCCTTGCAGACGAATATCATCAATATGAGGGTTTCTGAGTTTCTGATTGTCCTTTGGCTGGGGCAGAAGATGGTTACTAGACATTTTTTTCTAATTTTAGTTTGTGGTCAAACATAATGTCCAACTATCAACAACAATGATTTATATAACAATGAACAAAATATAATTTAACTTGATTTAACCAGGAATTCTAGCAAAATGATGGATTTTTGGTGGTTTCACTTTCATTTTTTTCGTGCCATGGTGATGGCTTGGAAAAAACCAGGCAGGAGTACCTGGCTGCGAGATGTACATGCCCAACATGCTGCAGGCCGTCCCTGGAATCTTTGGGACTCCCTGGATTTCATGGGTTTCAACTATGGATAAACCATGGATTTAGCCGATGATTTCACCATTCAATTGGGATTAAACCACCACACATGTGCAGTAAATGGAGAGTTGACTAAGAAAATTGCACATTCAATTGGGGTTTAACCAATAAAAAGGAAGGTATATAACCACTTTAAGGGGATCTAATGATATCTAATGTGATATCACCAAAAACATATGGGACACTGTTGACAATGACCAGCAAAAATATAGAAATTGATTTAACCATCAAACAAGGGGTTTGAGATTGTCCAAGACATAAGCAGTGGATGTGGTATTTCTAATGGTTTCGCTCTTTTTGCCCCAAAGAATATGGTGATTGATGCGCATCCCAGTCACGAACACTTACACCGCCATGGTTAATGACCATGTAATGCCATTTGTATATACATATGTATATATATATATATGCATAAATAAATATCTATGTATACACATGGGAGATTCTGAGTTAATTACCATATATCAATTACCATGATTATTTCCATATAGAATCAAATCAATCATATATCATGGTCATTGCCATGTCTTTTCCCATCTTGATACGTCTGCAGGCGCCACATCCGCCCATCTTTAGTAGCGTCCCAGCTTCTTGGTTAAAGCGGGGTCTTGGCTTCCCAGAAATTTCTTTCTAAGTGGAGGTTTCCTGAAATGGCGGTACCCCTAAATCATCCATTTCTAGATGGGATTTTCCATTATAAATAAATTATGAACCAACCACTTTTTGGGGATCCCCCCATTTATGGAAACCCCCAAACAGCACCATTCGAGTTATGGGCTTGTTTTTTCGAGTCATGGGATGTGAAATGGACTTGTTTTTTGTGAAGAGATGGGATGCTTTGAGCCGAGCCAGAACTTAGAACCATTTAGAATGGTCTTTTTGTTGGGCCCTGAAACGGTCCTTTTCTGTACCCAATTTTCACCAACACTCATACAGATCACAAAGACTTGTTAGTTTTGATCTGTTTTGACTAATGGCTGAATTCCCCATATTCCCGACAAATTTTTTGTTTTTGACGGCTTTCCCGAAGGGACCCGTTTTTTCTGTCCAAGATTGGTAGGAAGGACTGCCAAAATCCAAGGCACCGATACTTTTCCAAAATTGGGCAAAGAGCACGCATTTCAATGTTGAAAATTGCATGTCTTTTATATGTAGAACGTCTCATACACACGCGCACCTACACATAGACATAGGTTTTCATGAGTTATCCATATTTCTGTCTGTGTTTGTATCGATTTATCACTGGTGTGGCCGTGCCGTTCAGGTGCAGCATATGCCTCCGCCGGCTCCCATGCTCCTGGAGCAACATGACATGATCAGATGCTGGGCAGGTTGCCAATATTCTCCGGTGGTATTTTCCATTGGGTTTGTCTTAACAATAGGGGATACCCCAGTTAAAGCCATGTTCATGGGGAAAATAAGGTTCTTAATCCATTGGAATATGGGCTACCCATGGGTACCCTAGTTTCAGACAACCCCCCTCATCCAACTGAATGGAGGAAATGGGAAAATGTGGGAAATTCATCTAACCCCAAATGGGATTTGATGAAAATGAATTTGCAGTTTCCCCTTGAAGATGTTTTATTGCTTTTATAGCCCCTATTTGCAAATCCAAAGTAGAAACAGCGGTAAAAACCAACGATCATTTGGGAATGTGGATTTAATGAGGATACATTGGGCGACATGGAGATATAATAGGGAATAAAATTGGACAACAGCCAACAATGTGAAGCGCTTTGAAAATGGGTGATCCCCATGGCAATTGTCGGCAGATGATACTCCAGCGGATCTGATGGTTTTACCCAGTAATTTGTCACAGTACCATGGCAGTCATCGGGGTTGGACGATTCGTTTCCATTAAACATCGGTAAAGACAAAACCCACTTGTACCGAGACAAGGCCGCCCCCTGGTGGTGCTGCCGTGACGTTGGGACTAGTGGGGCGACCGAGAACACGGTGGACATGGGGCAACCATCAGAAGGGCTTAGGTTTGGCAGATGGCGAACCAAAGGTTGAAAAGTATGTTTTGTGCCCAAGTGAAGCTAGTGAAATCCTCAAATAGTGAGGACTTACCTTTCTATCCTTTCGGGGGTTACATCACCCCATATCTTCTAGGCAGTCTCGTGAGGGAGGCTGCGCACCGGGTCAGATCCGAAATTTCAGGATCCAAATATTTATCAACTCTGGAGGACTACACATTGGGGATGTACATCCAAGCAGCTTCGGAATGGAAACTTCGCTCTGAGGTGCATGGAGGGCAGCCAATGCCGCCAATGCCACAGCCCCTGCCGCAGATGTCACCCCCACTGCAGCAACCCATGCCGCAGCCTATGCCGCAGCCTATGCCGCAGCCAATGCCGCAGCCAATGCCACAGCCAATGCCACAGGCGGTTCCCGTAACGGCACAACCGCCCTTGCAACCCATGCAGCCATTGCCAATGCAACCTGCCGCACAGCCGCTGCAAGCCCAGTTTGGGCTTCCTTCTTACGCAGTATCTTGGCTTGTAGGCCATCGTGGTTGGTGCAGATGGTGGTCCTCCCTTTCTTTGAATCTAAATGTAAGTCAAATTTTATCGAGAACCCTGCCCTTCAGTCATCCAGAGGGTTCTTGATTTAGGGATTCAATTAATCATTGGAAGATATTGGAAGCTGTTTGAAGAATTCGTCATAAATACAGCAAGCCAAAGGAGTAGCTTTCAGGCACCTGTCTCGAATAACCTGCCTTGCTTCCTCCCATGAAATCCTCATGCTCAGGTTTTTCGACTTTCTAAGGTTTCTCAGTTTACTCTCACCCAGATAGATTTGTCATTTCAGCATTTCAAAGCATCGAGGCTCCGCATGCGGCCCCAGGTGATGCACTCGGGGAGAGTGGCCAAGACGGTAAACCTTGGGTGCTTTAGTAAATGGGGGTTGCCATAGTCATGGGGGTACCCCAATTGCTGGATGAAACTATTTCATGGAAAATCAGACAATAATTTATGAATGACAACTGGAGGTAGCCGCATTTTAGGACACCTCCAATTTTTGACATACTTTATGGATCTTAAAATTGTTTTGAATACAAACTCATATTTTTCCATATGGGAAGATATACACACCAGCTAAAGAACTATTTTTGGTGGAGGATGGTATCAATGGTATCCACGACTGCCAATGAAAAATGGCTGACTGTAACAATTTCATAGGTTCCGCGGCACCAACTTTGGAAGGTTTCTTGTTTACTTGTACCAAAAAAAGTTAACATACAGATTGCCATGATGAAACCCTACATATACATCTCAAGAATCAACGCATCAACTCCTAATTGAAACATATTGAAAGCAAACTATCCCGAACTAAGATCTCCGAGTTCATGGCCCATTGTCGATCATCCGCGGGCATCCATGGGAAGAGTAAACGATGTTATAGACTTACGGACTATATCAATATATCTACATTACATATTCATTGCATAATGTCAGAACATATTAGATACACACTACACACTACAATATTGTAAGTATCTTACATACGTATATATATACACATATATATGTATACATATTGTATATCCATGTTTGAATATTAGATACACAATGCATATATGTAGGTAGGTAGGTAGATAGATAGATAGATAGATAGATAAATAAATAGATAGATAGATAGAGAGAGGCAGATAGATGGATAGATGGATTGATAGATTGATTGATAGATCTCTTTATATATTCTGATTGCAAGTGCGTCCCATTGACGCAAGGTGTACTGATGACGCATCCGGGCCTCCCGGGACATCCGGGCCTGCCACCACCGCCTCCGACCTTTGCAGCGCCAGCGGTGGTGGGGACGGGTGCTGCGGGTGCTGGATCTGGAGTTTTACCATGTTTTACCATGAGTTTTAGTGATTTACCCATATTTACCCTCCAAAGTAACACAGAGCCTAAAAAATCGCTGAATTCGAGTGGAAACTCATCTTCCAACCACTTCCAACCCCTCTGATTTGCAGGAACTATGTTTTGGGGTCATGGCAATATGGTTTTCAAGCAAACAATGGGATTTTAGCAGCAAAGTGTGGGATTTCAACCGGATTTACTACATGGGAATTAGAATGGCGAAAAAAACGGGAATCATCCCCATGGTGGGCCGAATTCTTCAGGACATGGTGAATTCTGCCAGTCAACACATAAGTCGGGATGGGGGACCTCAAGTTATCCAGTCATAGATGAAGAAAAATGGGGATATGAAACTAACAATGATGGGACTATAAGAGGAATATATATATATATAATTGAATAGAATTCCAAGAATCTCTGTGGGTTTGTCTGAAAATGGGGATAGCCCAAAAGTGCCATGTCAGCGGGAGAATTTACGATTCCTCATGAACATTTTGGGCTGCCTAATTTGGTCATGGCGGCGTACTGAACAGATACCCTCCTGTAATCAAACATGGCAATGGAAAATCCCTGGTGTAAATGGGCATTAAATCATCTATAAATGGGGATATTCCAGCACGCCATGTTTGATTTACTAGAGGATATCTTATTGACTTATTGTTTCAGGTTGGTGATATGGTCATAGATCATGGCAGGTACTCCGGTACCTTGGATTTTGAGACATCAGGATCCCACACGGCTGCTTTCCCGCTAAGAACGCACTAAGTACTTCTAGCCACACCTGCACAGAAAATAAGATGAGGATGCTTATTAGCCACACCTTTTTATCACCATGTTTGCTTATTGGCACAGCAAATACTGTGCTACTTCATTGGCACAGTTTCATTATGGTAATTCGAGTGTTAGTTTCAACATTTTCAACATGTCTTGGATTGGTATCGGTTTCTTTGGCTTCATGTTGCCTACAGGTCATGTCTCCGAAGGTGGATGGGTCGCAGGATGTCGACATCTTGGGATGATAAGTCCTGGTGAGCGGTTGAAAAAAATCATACCCCGAAACGGAAGCTTGGCTTAGGATTGGATCTGTTTAGTTTTGGGTGTCTGTATGGGGAATTAGAAGAAATGTGGATGTTTATCATAGAATTTCAATGGGAAAGCAACAAGAATCGGAATTAAAGGACCGGATAACCCCACAAGTCAACTTCTTCCAATACTGATCTACAAACGTTGTAGGGGGGACGGGGAAGGAAGGAAAGACAAAGGATGTGATGGATGATCGAGAAGTAAAACAATGTATGTGAAGAGTTGTGTGTGACAAAGTGGTATGTGAAAGATAGTGTGTGACAAAGAAAAACTGAGTGTGTGTGTTTGTGTGTGTGTGACAAAGTTGTGAGTGAAAGATGGTGTGTGACAAAGTTGTGTGTGAAAGATTGTGTGTGTGTTTGTGTTTGTGAAAGAGAGCGTGTGACAAAGTTGTGTGTGTGAAAGATGGTGTGTGTGACAAAGCGGTGTGTGAAACATGGTGTAGCAAAAGATGGTGTGTGACAAAGTTGTGTGTGAAAGACGGTGAGGAGGAGGTATGCGGATGTCGCCAAGCGCCACGCCTGCCACGCAAAGTGCCGCGGCGTCACCGGCGACCAATCCAGTCCAAGCGCGCCACCAGAGCCAGCCCAATGCCCTAAGTGCCACGCCTGCCACGCAAAACGAAAGTGGATGTCACGAATTGCCACGCCTGCCACGCAAAGTGCCAGTTGTGTGTGAAAGAAGGATGGTGGTTAACAAAGATGTGTGTAACAGATGGTGGTTGACAACCTGCCACGCAAAATGAAAGTGGATGTCACGAAGCGCCACACCTGCCACGCAAAGTGCCAGTTGTGTGTGAAAGATGGATGCTTGTTAACAAAGATGTGTGTGAAAGATGGTGGTTGACAGATGGTGGTTGACAAAGTTGTGTGTGACAGAGGGTGGTTGACAAAGATGTGTGACAAAGATGGTGTGTGAAAGATGGTGGTTGACAAAGTTGTGTGTGAAAGATGGTGGTTGACAAAGATGTGTGACAAAGATGGTGGTTGACAAAGATGTGTGACAAAGATGGTGTGTGAAAGATGGTGGTTGACAAAGTTGTCTGTGAAAGAGGGTGGTTGACAAAGATGGTGTGTGAAAGATGGTGGTTGACAAAGATGTGTGTGAAAGATGGTGGTTGACAGATGGTGGTTGACAAAGTTGTGTGTGAAAGATGGTGGTTGACAAAGATTGTAACAAAGTTGTGTGTGAAAGATGGTGGTTGACAAAGTTGTGTGTGAAAGATGGTGGTTGACAAAGATGTGTGTGAAAGATGGTGGTTGACAAAGGTGTGTGTGACAGAGGGTGGTTGACAAAGATGGTGTGTGAAAGATGGTGGTTGACAAAGCTGTCTGTGAAAGAGGGTGGTTGACAAAGATGGTGTGTGAAAGAAGGTGGTTGACAAAGTTGTGTGTGAAAGATGGTGGTTGACAAAGATGTGTGTGAAAGATGGTGTTTGACAAAGATGTGTGACAAAGATGGTGTGTGAAAGATGGTGGTTGACAAAGTTGTCTGTGAAAGATGGTGGTTGACAAAGATGTGTGACAAAGATGGTGTGTGAAAGATGGTGGTTGACAAAGTTGTCTGTGAAAGAGGGTGGTTCACAAAAATGGTGTGTGAAAGATGGTGGTTGACAAAGTTGTGTGTGAAAGATGGTGGTTGACAAAGATGTGTGTGTGAAAGATGGTGGTTGACAAAGATGTGTGACAAAGATGGTGTGTGAAAGATGGTGGTTGACACAGATGTGTGTGAAAGATGGTGGTTGACAAAGATGTGTGACAAAGATGGTGTGTGACAGATGGTGGTTGACAAAGTTGTCTGTGAAAGAGGGTGGTTGACAAAGATGGTGTGTGAAAGATGGTGGTTGACAAAGATGTGTGTGAAAGATGGTGGTTGACAAAGATGTGTGTGAAAGATGGTGGTTGACAAAGATGTGTGACAAAGATGGTGTGTGAAAGATGGTGGTTGACAAAGATGTGTGTGAAAGATGGTGGTTGACAAAGATGTGTGACAAAGATGGTGTGTGAAAGATGGTGGTTGACAAAGTTGTCTGTGAAAGAGGGTGGTTGACAAAGATGGTGTGTGAAAGATGGTGGTTGACAAAGATGTGTGTGAAAGAGGATGGTTGACAAAGATGTGTGACAAAGATGGTGTGTGAAAGATGGTGGTTGACAAAGTTGTGTGTGAAAGATGGTGGTTGACAAAGATGTGTGACAAAGATGGTGTGTGAAAGATGGTGGCTGACAAAGATGTGTGACAAAGATGGTGTGTGACAGATGGTGGTTGACAAAGTTGTCTGTGAAAGAGGGTGGTTGACAAAGATGGTGTGTGAAAGATGGTGGTTGACAAAGTTGTCTGTGAAAGAGGGTGGTTGACAAAGATGGTGTGTGAAAGATGGTGGTTGACAAAGTTGTGTGTGAAAGATGGTGGTTGACAAAGATGTGTGACAAAGTTGGTGTGTGAAAGATGGTGGTTGACAAAGATGTGTGTGAAAGATGGTGGTTGACAGATGGTGGTTGACAAAGTTGTGTGTGAAAGAGGGTGGTTGACAAAGATGGTGTGTGAAAGATGGTGGTTGACAAAGTTGTGTGTGAAAGATGGTGATTGACAAAGATGTGTGACAAAGATGGTGTGTGAAAGATGGTGGTTGACAAAGTTGTGTGTGAAAGATGGTGGTTGACAAAGATGTGTGACAAAGATGGTGTGTGAAAGATGGTGGTTGACAAAGTTGTGTGTGAAAGATGGTGGTTGACAAAGATGTGTGTGAAAGATGGTGGTTGACAAAGATGTGTTGACAAAGATGCGTGTGTGAAAGA